ACATCTGTCCTTTGATGAACAACCCTGATCTTTCTCTGATAAGCGACTGCGGGCCCTGTCACTACCACAGAAATCAAACCACTGTGTAAGCATAAGATCGGTGGTAGAAACCTCATCGTTTGCATCGACGGTACCGCAAATCAGTTCGGAGACAAGGTATGCGTTTGCGAGGCTGTCCAGCTGCACCACTTGCTGACGTTTTAAAAGAACACAAATGTTATCGAATTGTATCATCGCATTTTAAAGGAGGTCAAGGACAACCAGAAAACTTGGTACAACAGTGGTATCGGGACGTACGCCCGGCCATCTTGGAAATCGTTCAAATTCTACCGACAGGTCGTTTCTCATAAGGTCGATTTGGCGATTGCATGGTGCGCTGAGTGGTCAATTTATATATCATCTTCCTTTTCTTTTACCTCTTTCCTCGTTCAGGAATTTTGAACGAACAATATTGGGTGCTTATCGCTGGTTGTCGGACAATTATGAGCCTGGGGATTGTATATTTCTTTTCGGTGCATTAGAACAATATGTGATTTGTTTGTCTGTCGATGCTGAGGGATCTACAGGGTTTTCTCGTGGTGCATTCCAAGTCCGCGTACTCGCGGCAATGATCGACAAGGTGTGCTGTGTTCTGAGAGCATTAACAGTCCCAGTTGACGTCCTCGGAAAATCCAGGTCGGCCTGATCCATAAGGGAAATGAGATGCAGATCCCATTGTGCGCTTAACTTGTTTATACCTTATTATTCGTTGATCAATTATCTTCAGTGCATACGAGCTATATGCAGACCTGGGAAGTGGTAAGGATGATGAGGAATCAAATTCAGTGACTCCAGTTGGATTGCCGCCGCAGACGGAGTCAGGTCGGACCCCCAAGAGCAGCGCCGCCGAGCGTTTCAAGCTAACTTTCTCAAACGAGGTAGAGGTGCATTTCGTTGGTGCCTGGTATGTAATACGTACTCTGCCTTTACGGAACCCTGCACGCTCACGAGAAGAGTTTTAGGGATACTGTCTCGTCCATCGGGATTGCACGCGGAAAGAAAATGCTCCCTGGGACAGTCGACGGGATGAAACATGTCTGCTTCTTCCGCCATGCACTGGCGCTCGACGAGCGACGGGTCAAGTTCTTGCCCGAGTACGCTTATGGAGGTTCGGCCACTGGCGAAACTACCCAAGATACATCCCCAAGCGACGGGGTGGACCGCTCGAAGGGCATGGACAAGGTGCATCCACAAACCTTGGAAGTCTGGTTTGCGGGCACACACTCGGATATGTAAGTACGTTTACATGTCCACCTGAGGGTTCGACTTTGTCATGTCTTTACATTTAGAGGAGGCGGGAATGTGAAGAACCCCGGGATGGATCGCAGTAGACCTCCTCTGAGGTGGATGGTGCTTGAAGCGAGGGCGCTGGGTCTTCGCACAAAACCATTTGAGCGTGAGCTCTCTCGTGACGAGCAGATCAATGTTATCGAATCTTTGACGGGGGTGTGGTGGGCGCTTGAGGTTTTGCCCTTCGATAGATTGACATACACGAGGCGAAACGATGGAAAAAACTTGACGACTCACAAGCAAATATTCTCTAACTGCAAAGCAATACTTCAACTAACTGTTTTTTAGGCCTCATTTCGGGTCAAGGCGCAAAATACACCCTAATCAGAAGATCCATGGTTCTCTCTTGCTGGCCGGTAAATTGAAGAGCGAGTACAATCCAAAAGCACGTCCTTTGGATGACGATCCATCATTCTGGGATACAGCGCGTAAGGAGGGGCTCGGCGATTGGCTGGAATTGGACTTGGACGACCTTGTCCGTACCCATGTGGAGAAGTTCATGACCGAGCATGATATTACTGTGTGGCAGATTTTGCGCCAGACTGCTTCTTGGGGTGAAATTGCCACTCAGTACCTCAGAATTTTCGTAGCTGACATATGGCGACATTTAGCGGATGGACGACAAGCAGTGTACGATCAAGTCATTGATGAGCTGAAGAAACCCGCTCTCGAGCCTGAGATCATGTTCCAACTCCTGGACAAGACGGTAGACATCCTCGGGGATCATCGAGCCAATTTAAACCTAAGTCCGTCGATTGAAATCCGTCCTCTTCAAGTTGTGGCAGACCTTCGACATAGTAACGAAAAACGCTACCAGGAGAGAGCACAGCAGTTTGTAGAGCAGTTTACGGATCGTAAGTGAAACCCACCTTTCTTCTTTTGTATGGAGGACTGAACCCATTGCTCTTACCACAGCTTCCATCTTCGTATTGAGTGGACACACAAGTTGGATCTGGTCTGTTGCAATCTCGCCTGACGGCAGCCGCGTAGTCTCGGGGTCGAAAGACCGCATGATTCGGATCTGGGATGCAGAGACGGGGAAGCCAGTGGGAGAGCCATTCCAAGGACACACAGGTCCGATATTTTCTGTCGCATGCTCGCCTGACGGCAGGCACGTAGTCTCTGGGTCAGACGACAAGACAATTCGGATCTGGGATGTGGAGACGGGGAAGCCAGTGGGAGAGCCATTTCAAGGACACACAGATCAGATCTGGTCTGTTGCATTCTCGCCTGACGGCAGGCGCGTAGTCTCGGGGTCGCAGGATGAGACAATTCAGATCTGGGATGCAGAGACAGGGAAGCCGATGGGAGAGCCATTTCAAGGACACACACAATCGATCAAGTCTGTTGTATTCTCGCCTGACGGCAGGCGCGTAGTCTCTGGGTCAGACGACAAGACAATTCGGATCTGGGATGTGGAGACGGGGAAGCCAGTGGGAGAGCCATTTCAAGGACACACAGATCAGATCTGGTCTGTTGCATTCTCGCCTGACGGCAGGCGCGTAGTCTCGGGGTCGCGGGATGAGACAATTCAGATCTGGGATGCAGAGACAGGGAACCCGTGGGAGAGCCATTTCAAGGACACACACAATCGATCAAGTCTGTTGTATTCTCGCCTGACGGCAGGCGCGTAGTCTCAGGCTCGTACGACAGGACAATTCGGATGTGGGATGCAGAGACGGGGAAGCCAGTGGGAGAGCCATTCCAAGGACACACAGGTGATATCGACTCTGTCGTATTCTCGCCTGACGGCAGGCGCGTAGTCTCGGGTTCAGATGACCGGACAATTCGGATCTGGGATGCGGAGACGAGGATGCCAGTGGGAGAGCCATTCCCAGGACCCACTGATCCGATCACGTCTGTCGCGTTCTCTGACAGCAGGCGCAGGCGCGTACTCTCGGGCTCGGGCAACAATACAGTTACGATCCAGGACCTAGGAACGGAGTAGATAGTGACAAGGGTGGATGATACTACAGTGCTTTGCATTGCCGTTTGCACACCGAGGTTTAGAAATCGTGTTTGTGTGTGTTGTACCGTGACCCACAAATCGGGAAGTAAGAGACCGCTTACCGGACGCAACATCCAACAAGGCCTGCAATCTCCTGCGGTGAAAGATGTTGCTCATCATGGCAAACGATGATCCGCGTGCGCATCTCATCCGATACCTGAGGCGCAACGAGAGTTGGGTTGAGAAATATAAAGTTCCCAAAGTGCTCAGATCTCGTCCTGATGCGTGACAATCTGTGACGAACATACAAAACCAAACATAATTTTCGCGATTTCGGTGTGCAAACGGCAATGCAAAGCACTGTAACCCGATTTAAGATATCTACCCAGATATTCCCTCGTCTCCCTTTATATTTCTGTAACTACTCTTTACCATTAGGGGCACTCAGAGGAGTTTGTTGTCGGACGTGTATACTTTCTTGTTCAATTTTTTGCAGACGAAAACGCTGTATGTTTTGCTATTGTCAATGGTTTATTACAGCCGATCCAGATTTTCACCCACACCTCACGATGATACTTATATGTAGAAAGAAGTCCAATCATAAACTTTCATTAACGTCACAAGTACAATAATAGAAATAAAAGGAGCGGAAAGGACAACGAAAAAAATGAAATACAGTACAGTCCAAGTTCACTTTGGCAACTGACCCGCAGCTAGCTCAATCAAATTCTCCTTCCCTGTCGCATTCTGTACATATCTCGCATTGAACTTCAACACACTCTTAAACTCCAAAAACGCTTTGGGGCTCATCGGTAGGAAAGTATCCGCAACGAGGAAAACGACGCCGTCAGTGCACGGAGGTGTTGTCAACGATCCGGTATATTTGAATAGGGGAACGGTGCTGAAGAAATTCGTGATGTCGGAGAAGGAGAGTGGGCCTGTGGTGGTTGAGCTGCCTGGTTCTGTGATGGCGTGAAGAGGAGTGGAGAGGGGGTCTAGGAGGTTTGCGTTGGTTCCGGTGAGGGATAGTTCGAAGAGGGCTGCGAGGACGAGAATGGAACCTTCTAATGGACTAAATTTAATCAAAGAATGGATGGTTTGAGGTTCAACGACTTACCAGACGCGATGTTGACGAAATGCACTTCCATAGGATAAAATTGCGCGTCGATAAGGTGTTCTGCGGGTGTATGGAAATGATATTGCTTTAGGCTGTACGTTTTGCCTTCAAAGATCGTAGTCCCATTGATCACAACCTCAACCGTCGAACCCAGGTTCTCAAATTCCGCCGACTTCACATTGGGGATACTTATTTTCGGATGGGTCTTCGAGAGTGGGACGACGTCGTGCTCGATATTTATGGGAGACTGGACATTGGCCGTTGAGCATTTTAGGTTTGCGGGGTTAAGGCCTGCCCAGCCGAGAGGACCGGTGACTCCGATGTAGCTGAAGTTGCTGATGGGTACAGAGCCAGGTCCTGCCTGGAGATTACAACGGTGGTTGTGCAGGCAGACGCCTTGGACAAAGGAGGTGGAGAGAAGGAGAGCTGACACGACGGCGCCAAGGAACGTTGAGTTTTGGAAAAGCATCGTATCGTGTGGGTTTCAAAGAAAGTCAAAAGACGACCAAGCGACGAGAAGAAGGGGTGGCTGGCACGACACGAGTTGGTTGAGGGTTTATATAGAGTCTATAATAATAAGAACAACCCCTTGGCTAGTGAGTGGCAATGGCAATGTAAGCGAAATTCGCTCAATGAAAAATGCCAAGCCCTAGAGCTGTGAGCCTGTGCAGGGAAGGATGGCAACTTCAAGTCAAAAACGAAAAGGGTGATGGTATCGGCAAACGAGGCTTTGAGAAGGTTGAAGCACATGCGTCCCAATTGAGACGAGGAAAAGTTGTGCCCAAGCGGGATGAGAATAGTAGGCGTTCAGTATCCATAGCAGACAGGTCCTACCAGAAGAACCGGGGTCAAGTGTGTTTGAGCCGAAAAGACTCAGGTCCAACGCGCACAAATCCAAGAAAACCAGTGGTGTGATTGTGGCAGGTGCAAGATGGCAACAGGGACATTGTGGAATGAGACTTGAGTAGAACTGTAGAAGGTGACCGCCAGTGGGCAGGGGCAACCTTGTAACGCCTTTGAAATGTAAGATCGGACTTCGATTTGTAGCAGGTTTGAAGCGAAAGGGCTTCCACAACGTCGCGCCAAGATTGCTGGAGTCCGACATTTAATCTAGTCTCGGAAACCCATCCTCTTTGGGCACCCTTCCCAATTTGGGTCCCTTCCCTTAAGAGTCTGGGAATCTTCCAACGACATCAACGTACCTTTGTCTTCGCCAATTTCTTGGCGGTTATGTAAGCTTTATGTCTGCCTTTCTGAACGCGTCATTATCATCGCGTCCTCGTCACCACGTCCATCCCTCGCGTTATTCGCTCCATATACCCTTAATTCCATCTCTACTAATGCCATACTATGTTTAACTCCACTCCTTTGCAACCTCGGCTACCCAAACATCCTCGAATTAACAATCAAGATGACTTACTTTGTCCTCACCAACATTACCCCACCTTCCACTCCCATCGCGATACGCCCACCATTCCTTACTATCAACCAAAATCTATCCTACACCACCCCACAACGTCCACTTGCCAGCCAGAAGCCCCGGAAAATCTATCGAAATGGCTATGAATCGAAGCCCAAGACACCGTCATACAAGCTCAACAATCCAGGACATCCTCGACAAAAGGCCTTTGCCTTCTCCAACTTCCAGCGACTCTCCGCACGATGCTGGAATGAGTTAGCAATCTCCGAGGGGGTACTGAAAGAGGGACAACACCTCCGAGACTATCAGGTTGAGGCGTCGGACATTACTATTCTATCTCGGCAGCGGGATTTATGTGTCATTGCCCCGACAGGGGCTGGAAAGTCTCTTCTTTGGGTCCTCTCTTAGCGCAGAAAAAAGCGATTTCTGTGGTGGTTATACCATATACAAGCTTGGGCTTCCAGATCCAATGACCATGTATTGAAAGCTATGTCATGTATAATAGACATTCCGGTTCAAACATTAAATGTACCTTTCTTCATTCTGGTGCAAACGGCAAAGCGGAACTTGAGGAAATTGCTCGTGGCGGGGAGAAACATGTCATCTACACATGTGTTGAGATGCTCGAGACGCCTGGTATTGCACAGGTGTTTTCATCAAAACCAAGCAGAGTAAAGCTCATGAAAGGGGGATCTGATTGATTATACATAGATAGGTGACATAACTAGATTGTATTGAAGGTATATGGAGCAGATAACGCGAGGGATGGACGTGGCGACGAGGACGCGATGATAACGACGCGTTCAGAAAGGCAGAATAAAGCTTACATAACCGCCAAGAAATTGGCGAAGACAAAGGTACGTTGATGTCGTTGGAAGATTCCCAGACTCTTAAGGGAAGGGACCCAAATTGGGAAGGGTGCCCAAAGAGGATGGGTTTCCGAGACTACATTTAATCTCGAGGGTGGCGATGGTGGCGTAGTCAATACACGTTGTTTACTTTGTCATATGAAGGCAAACTCGTAAGAACAATAAACAACAAAGTCCTTTCCAATTCCCAAATCCCCATTACTTACATACGTTCACTCCGCTGTTCAATGCTTGCGTGGAGCGCCGCCACAAGGCCAACAAGCTCTAATTTGCATTAGCAAGCGAGTGCATGCGACAAGTTCCCTCGAAGAAACGCGAAGTGAGGTGATACCGTCCACTTGAACTGTGAACAACCGTTGACATCAGGACAGCTCTCATCGGCCACGGAGCAAATCAAGCTACACCTGCACCGACAAGAGAGCCTACATAAGTGGATTTATTACGCTACTGCGCGACGTCAAGTTGGACGCAGGGAGCCGGACGGTTCGCCCACCACATAAGACTCAGACTTGCTTACTTTTGGGGAACATGAACGTGTCTTCTTGTTCTCCTTCAACATCAGCAAAAGTTCAGGTTCCACGTAAGGCCATAAATGGCCATGAGAGGCTCCAATAGGCCATGAAAGGTTAGCCCCCCTTCTATGGCCAAGGTTGGAACCTCGGCTTACATCCCTGGTGATAGGCCTTGCATGGCACCGGTTTCTTGCATGGCTCCTGACACCATGCGAGGCCATACTAGGCCATCCTAGTGAACCGTTTCCATACAATCTTAGCTAGATCTTGAATTCTTATTTTAAATTCTGATCACTTCATATGAAATACGGCGAAATAAAACATGTATTTCTTGTAGCATCTAATACAAAGTCTGAAAACGACACAAGAATGGCAGGCAGCAAGAGAAAAGATTGGAAGGATGGAGAAAAAAAAAGAAAGCGATACGTACATGTGGAAGACCGTGAGCAAGTGGGTGACATAAAAAACGGTAGTCTGGAAGATTGATCAATGAGCCAGTGTAGAGTCGAAGAAAAGCGAATGAAAACACCTTGAGTAAATGTTGGCAGTTATCGTTCTCTTCGATGTCATGCCGCTCGTCTTCTGCTTAGACGACAGAGGCATGCGAGGTGAGCCGTCATCATCACCAGTTGAAACCCTTTGCTCCTCACGTCGCTCTCTTGGCTGATTAAGGCTACTCCTGCGATGTAGCCGCTTACCATGGAAACCGCCAGTATATGCGTCTTGAGGAGACGAATCAGGATGATCATGACAATGACACTCAGCATACCTTCTCAACGGGCGTTGACGAGAGGTGAAGTTGCTCACCATCGGTGGTGGTGGCGTGCGAAGAGTTGTGGTGATGGCTGCGGCTGCGAGGAGCTTGCGTGTAACCAAGGCGACTTTGACTGCTATGGCGCGGAGGGTGGCAACGACTCGGAGGGCATATCCCCTGCATGCGTGAATTGGGTACAAGGGGACGATACGGTGCTAACGAATGCATTGTTAGCAAATTACTACCTAGAGAGTCATAAAGCGTGTACATACCGTGCAAATCCAGTCTCCCAAGCGATATGACATCGTTTTGACGGTATCGACCAATAATCCGCGCCGTCATCGGCCTGGGCATCGGGGAAGACACCAAGCATTCGAGCACTGTCAGAATTGGAAGATACATCACATATATGCGCATGTATGCCACGAAAAACACTTACTTGGCAAGAGAACGCGTAGCAAAGCATCGGCGTAAACGGTAGTCGATTGAATACCTACATTGGAAAGTCAAATCTTTAAGATAAGTAGCATATATGCTCAGATAATTACTCACTCGCTCAGAGAATCTGCGCCCAGATGTCTCCTTCTCAACACCAGACAATACAAGCGAATCGCTCAAGCTCACTGCGGTGTCGCTGAGCGGGGTACAGCACAGCCAGGAGTTGTAGCGTCGAGCCGTCGTCGTCGTCGTCGCCGGGAGGGAAGGAGTCAGGAGCGGGGGAGCAGGGAGGCGGTGGTGGTGGTCAAGAACAGAGAGCAAAGTTCCAGTGAAACGCGTGATTAGTGTCATGTGATCAATTAGATAAGTCCAATCAAAGTCCGACGTACCTCTACATCGCTTTCATCGCTTTACTTCACACCACAGTACCCCGTCGTATGTTCGTCACAACCCACCTCGGTGAGACACAGGACGACTACGGAACAACAACGTGAAACGACAATGACACAGCGAGGAGGACGCGAGGAGGACACGGTAAGCTCACCTCACCCCCACCACTCGTCTCTCTAACACGGAATCCAGGTGCCACGTCGCTGACAGCGACGTGTCAACCACACGACGACGAACGGCATGTGTATTTCAGGACACCAAGGTAAGTACCCCTGTCTCACGTTCGTCCCAACACAGCTCGCTGAGACTCAGGACAACGACGGAACGATGATGTGGGACAACGACGACGCGACGATGAAAACACAAGACGAGGACACGGGATGAGGCCGCGACAGCGACAAGGACACGGGATGGCTATGAACCGATGACGAGGGCACGCTATAATCCAGGTGAGTAGCAACATGACTTCGCTCCCTCTCCTTTTTTCACACCAGAAGCAGGGGCGATGGACGGTGACGACGCATTTTGTCGTCACTGTTCATATTATTCCGGGTGAACATCATGACTCCCCTCCCCATCTCCTACCAACGGCGACGTGGCGACCAACAACAGATCAACAACAACGACTATGGACAACGAATGACGAAGAAGGGTGACAACAAAGATGATCGGCAACAAATGACCACGACCACCACCAACGATGATGAATAACCCCCCGAGAACGAACCATGACCGCCAACGATAACGACGAATGACAACTACAACGATGACAACAACGATGACCGACTACGACAACGACAATGGATTTAGTTATAGTAGTTGTTAGTATGTTCTCAATATGTTTAGAATACTTTTTCAATGTTCAGTGCCGTAGGCATGGTCCTAAACTTTGGTCAATATAACTTAAGAACCGAACAAAAATATTGGTCAACCAAAATAGCTGAATCCTATCCTAGGAGTAGTACAAGCATGCTAGGCCGGTGATAGGCTACCAACCGACATAAATGGATGATAACACCCTCTTAGATACCATACTAGGTTATACTACCCTTTTGCTCTCCATACTAGGCTTCACTAGGCTTTCACGTTCCATCCTAGGGATTGCTAGCCTGTTAAGCCCCATCCAAAGCCACACAAGCGAGATACTAGGTAAGTAGGCCCATACTATATATACTAGGCCTACCATGGAACGTGAACTTTTGCTGATGAAGTTATGGCCTATGACCACCCTGGTCCGTCATAGGATTGTCGCGGGACATGGAGTTGATCAAATTTCAAGTTGGGTGACTGAGAGGGAGGGCTGAGGCCGCTTCGCTCGAGTACTCGACTGACGTCGTAAGTACTTTCACTGGCAATTGCCTGTTCTTTTCTTGTGCATCTAGTCCGACATCAGCGTGAATCAAGTAGTACTTGAGTATATCGTCTTGCAACTACTGTACATTCTGTGAATAAAAATCAATCCGATGCACAGCATTAGGGTGTTTCACAGTAGGCCAACTTAGGTCCCAACTTGATCCCCAACTTGGTGAGCAACTTTTGCCAAGTTGGAAGGACAAAGTTTGACCAACTTCATGAAGTTGGGATGCAAATCGTGGTCCTGACGCCGATTTGCAGCCAACTTTGATCCCAACTTGGTGCCCAACTTCACCTTGCAACTTCCCACGTATCCAAAATAGGCAGAAATCTGCATCCGGAATTCCTTCCAAGCCCAAATCAGCCGAACTTTATGTTTTCTGCAGTTCAAGGTGTTTCACAGTAGAGTTGGCCAACTTCCTCTTCAACTTTGTTGAAGTTGGCCCACAAGTTGAGATGAAAGTTGGGACCTAAGTTGGCCTACTGTGAAACAGCCTATTGTTGTCTCTAATTGGACAGGGACGCAAAAAGCAGTGCCAGATCCCTTGTCCTCTCCAGGACCTCTCCTCCTAACCAGCCGTCTGCAGGATACGACGTAAGTCGCATCTTTCACCCTCCACTAACGGTTTGTACTGAAATACTTACATTGGGTTCCTAGACATCCTCATCTGCAGCACCCCCTCCGGCTGGCCAATACCCACCACCCCAAGGCCAATACCCATCTCCATATCCGTACCCGTACCCTCCGCCTCCAAGTCACATGCCATATGGTTCTCCAGGTCAACCGCTCTACCCACCCTACGGCTACCAACTTGCTCCATACTACCCACCATATGCATACCACCCCGGACCGTACAGTGGACAAGTGATCCTCCAACCGTCCCAACTCCGAGTTTGGCCGCTCCTCCGACTACCACCCTAGGCGCTCAGTCGAATGCTCCACCAGCTTTCCCATCGAGTGATGCTTCCGATAACGTTCAAGCTCCCCAGGCCCAGGCTCAAGCTCCGTACTTCCCACCGCCGCCTATGCCAATGGTGCATGTTGAACATCCTCGGCCGTCCGGCGCACGAGATCCGCCTGCTCATTGCTGGCTATCGGCTGAGGTATGGCAGGGATTTGGTTGAAGCTGTAAAGTTTGATTTGTCTGGGAAGACGGAGCGGAGTACGTGTTTTTCCATTGCTGTTTCTCCTATGAATTGATTAACAGACTTGCAATAGTGTTCATAATGGCATTGAATGCACGACGACCACCCGATACGCTCCCTGTGGATCCGAAACAGGTCGCGGGGGATGTTGAGACATTTCATTCTGCTGCTAAGAAAAGGGAGGAGGTGCGTCTGATCTCAACTCAGGTGAAGTGGAAGGTTGACGGTGGCAACTTTTCTTTTTTTTTTTGAAGATCCCATCCTAAGACAATACATACAAGATCAACGTAACTCACGGAAGCCCTCGACCGCGTACTACGGTAGCGATACGCTATCCTTGTGGTCCGTCTGAAACGTGCTCTGGCAAAGAGTCACCATGGATATGTTCTATCTATGACTTGTTGACTCGTGTTGAACGTTTTCGGCTAGTGTATCGTTCTTATTCACGTGTTTGCACTTCCTTCCACTTACCACCATCACCTACAACGACGAGGACACGAACTGTCACGGCAACTTCAAGTCAGGCGATGTGGAGAGTGTTTAGGGCAACGGTAAGTAACCTGTATTTCCGATACCAAGTCCAAGGAAATGACAGTCGATTCAGAAAATTCGAGTTTTTATGCAACAATCACTACATTTCAACGACGTCTGGCCGGACAGACCAACGGGGGTGGTGATGACGGTTCAGCGAGGGATGACGAGCGAGGGCGATGTCATGGATTTGAGAAGATGATGACTGACTGGTGAAGGACGGACGATACGTCGACAACAGCTACTTGGACGTTGGTAAGCCATCCACAACTCTATAATCATTGTTTCCATCCACTTACCTTTCCATACAAGTCGCGACGACCTCCCAGAATGCAAGAAACGACTTACGTTCGTGTCCGACACAACACTACTCCGACTTCTGGACAGCGAGCACCCCTAGTACAGTACGTGGGCGTTGGCATTCAATAAGGGGAGGGGGTTGAAAGCGAATGGGCAGCAGAGTGGGAGGCTCTGCTCTAACGTTTGGTAAGGCGTCCACAGCACCATCCGACTATTAAAACTCACAAATGTTTTGTAGAACCGCGTCAATTGCGATGAAGCCGGCGATATTTGGCTCAATGCACAAAATATATCGCCCGAGCACGAACCTTCGCATCACTGTGATTTTTTCACTGCGAGTAGACGGTGTTCGAGGTATCGTGAGGTTGTGAAGAGTCCTCGTTCTTCGGTATGTTTTATTCCTTTCTTCTTCACGGTGATCTCATAGTGCCTCTCTTTCACAGCCAACTGGGTCTTTCTCCCCCCGCCTCCTCCACCTCCCCTGCAACACAAACCAGTGCAGGGGATGCTTCAAACCTATGCGTGTCCACCGAACTGCCGGTCATGCCCAGCCCGGACCTGCTGCCCTTCCATCTGCGCCATTGCCTTATTCGAAGTACTGTGCAGTTTTGACTAGGAATACGCGGGGTTCGTTGCGAATTCGCCAACGAGAGAGTTTATCAATGTGATGATTGCGCGCACGGATAAAAGGACGAGGGCGTTCGAGGGGGTGTTGGTTAGTACGTTGAGGAGCGTATCGAGTTGGCTTCTTCAGGCGGCCTCTGCATCCGAGTCCTCTGGATAGGGGATACATCCCTCCATCCCCCGGCTATTCACCATTTCCCACCTCCCATCGGTGATGTACGCCTTTTTATCGCACATACTTGGCGCAGAGCGCGATTGGGTGGTACACAGCCAGATACGTCGCGTTGATGGACGTGATCAAGCACCTCGCTTCGGGTTCGAGTTCGGTTGCTGGGGTTGTGAAGGAGCCTGGGAGGAGGGTTGAGGAGAGCTGTGGTGTGCAGGCTTGGATGTGGGATCGAGGGGAAGTTGTTTGGGTTCATGAGGGGGAAGCGGAAGGGGAAGGAGGAAGGAGTTTGGGAGATGCGGTGAAGAGGTTGGAGAGGCATCGGCAGGGATCGGAGAGGTATGGGAATAAGTTCAAGTTTGCGGCTATGGGGGAGAAGATTGAGTTGCTTTGTGAGGGGATTTCGTATTTGTTGTTTCAGCAGCTTGTTGGGGGGTGAGTGAGGGGGTTAGGTGTGGGTGGGGAGGTTATCATTACTATTGCATACGGTCCCAGGTGGTCTCTGCTCGCAAGGCTTTTCTCTTTTCCTATTTTTTTTCTTCTTCAGAGTTTGGTTGCATATACATAGACGTCCGGGGACATTCATTTACTTACACTAAGGACTGGTCGCGAGTCTAACTTTCTTGTTCAATTTTTTACCTATCTAATTTCGATGGAATATATTTGGCTTACATAGTACAATATTAGTGAAGGCCCATTCAGCTTTCAAGAGCCAGCGCTAGCCAGCGTTCTGGGCCGTGGACCGTGGTGTAATGAGCGCTTCGATCGTTCCTACCGTGCATCCTGTCGACATGTCACCCGCTTACAACTGCTTCGAGCTAGCCTCGAGGCTCGGCGCTTCTCCTTATACTCTGGAGCAACATCCAGTGAACGCTAGGCTCCTTACCTCCATCCATTCCCTCACAGTTACCCACTTCCCTTTTCTCCATGCCAGACGATCATATACCCTCTGTTAAAGGCGAAAAATGTAAGTACTGTCTTGTTGGCATCTGAATCTGTCCTTTGATGAACAACCCTGACTCTCTTTGATAAGCGACTGCCAGTGCTGGTCTTGTCACTCCCTTGACCACAGAAATCAAACTATGCCAGCATAAGATCGGTGGTAGAAACCTCATTGTTTGCATCGACGGTACCGCAAATCAGTTCGGAGAGAAGGTGAGTATGCGTTTGCGAGGCTCACCACTTGCTGACATTCTTGCAAGAACACAAATGTCATCGAATTGTATAATCGCATCTTGAAGGAAGTCGAAGACAACCAGAAAACTTGGTACAACAGTGGTATCGGGACGTACGCGCGGCCATCTTGGAGATCGTACAAATTCTACCGACAGGTCATTTCTCATAAGGTCGATTTGGCGATTGCATGGTGCGCTGAGTGGTCACTTATATATCTTGCTTTTATACTCACCTCTTTCCTCGTTCAGGAATTTTGAACGAACAGTATTGGGTGCATATCGCTGGTTGTCAGATAATTATGAGCGTGGGGATTGTATATTTCTTTTCGGTGAGTTGGAACAATATGTGACTTGTATGTCCTTCGATGCTCAGGGATCTAACTAGGGTTTTCTCGTGGCGCATTCCAAGTCCGCGTACTCTCGGCGATGATCGACAAGGTGTGCTACGTTCTGAGAACAGTGGCAGCCCCGATTGACGTCTTCGGAAAAATCTAGGTCGGGCTAATCCATAAGGGAAATGAGATGCAGATCCCATTGTGCGCTTAAATTATCCCATAGCTTATTATTCGTTAACCAATTACCTCCAGTGCGTATGAGCTATATGTAGACCCGAAAAGTGATGAGGTATCAAGTTCAGTAACTCGAGTTGGATCACCGCAGGCGAAGCAAGAGACCTCCAGCGCCGAGCGTTTCAAGCGGGCCTTCTCATACAAAGATGTACGAGTGCATTTCGTTGGTTCCTGGTATGTAATACGTGCTGCCATTATGGAACCCTGTACGCTCATGATCAGAGTTTTAGGGATTCTGTCTCGTCCATTGGGATTGCACGCGGAAAGAAGATGCTCCCTCGGACAGTCGACGGGATGAAACACGTCTGCTTCTTCCGCCATGCACTGGCACTCGACGAGCGACGGGTCAAGTTCTTGCCGGAGTACGCTTATGGAGGTTCAGCCACTTGTGCAAACCCAAACGACGAGAATCCTTCAAGTGCTAACCCTGGATCTTCAGAAAAGGGCAATAAACCATCCACGATAAATGAGGGGGAAACTACCCAAGATATATCTCCACGCGATGACGTTGACCGCTCGCAGGGTATGAACAAGGTGACGGTAAAGCATCCGCAAACCCTGGAAGTCTGGTTTGCGGGCACGCACTCGGATATGTAAGTACATTCACCTGTCCACCTGATGGTTCGAATTTGTCATATTTTTACATTTAGAGGAGGCGGAAATGTGAAGAACGCCGAGATGGATCGTAGTAGACCTCCTCTGAGGTGGATGGTGCTGCAAGCGGGGGCGCTGGGTCTTCGCACAGAACCATTCGAGCGTGAGCTGTCCCCTCACGAGCAGATCAATGTCATCGAATCTTTGACGTGGGTCTGGTGGCCACTTGAGCTTTGTTTCTTCGATAGGTTGACATACACGAGGAGCGCCAATGGAAAGAAGACAACTCATAAGTAGATATTATCCAACTGCGAGGCAATGCCTCAACTAACTGTTTTGTTAGGCCTCATCTCGGGTCAGGCCGCAAAATCCATGCTAACCAGAAAATACATGGTTCTCTCTTGCAGGCGGGTAAATTGATGAGCGAGTACACTCCAAAGGCACGCTCTTTGGATGACGATCCATCATTCTGGGAGACAGCGCGTAGAGAGGGGTTCGGCAATTGGCTGGAATCGGATTTGTACGACGTTGTCCGCACTCAAGTGGAGAATTTCATCACCAAGGATGATCGTACTGTGTGGCAGAGTTTGCGCCAAACTGCAACTTGGGGTAAACTTGCTCGGTACCTCTGCATTTTCCGTAGCTCACATATGGCCGCCTTTAGCGGATGGACGACAAGCAGTGTACGATCAAGTCATTGATGAGCTGAAGAAACCCGCTCTCGAGCCTGAGATCATGTTCCAACTCCTGGGCAAGACGGTAGACATCCTCGGGGATCATCGAGCCAATTTAAACCTATGTCCGTCGATTGAAATCCGTCCTCTTCAAGTTGTGGCAGACCTTCGACATAGTAACGAAAAACGCTACCAGGAGAGAGCACAGCAGTTTGTAGAGCAGTTTACGGATCGTAAGTGAAACCCACCTTTCTTCTTTTGTATGGAGGACTGAACCCATTGCTCTTACCACAGCTTCCATCTTCATATTGAGTGGACACACAGGTTGGATCTGGTCTGTTGCAATCTCGCCTGACGGCAGCCGCGTAGTCTCGGGGTCGAAAGACCACATGATTCGGATCTGGGATGCGGAGACGGGGAAGCCAGTGGGAGAGCCATTCCGAGGACACACAGGTCCGATATTTTCTGTCGCATGCTCGCCTGACGGCAGACGCGTAGTCTCTGGGTCAGACGACAAGACAATTCGGATCTGGGATGTGGAGACGGGGAAGCCAGTGGGAGAGCCATTTCAAGGACACACAGATGAGATCTGGTCTGTTGCATTCTCGCCTGACGGCAGGCGAGTAGTCTCGGGCTCGCGGGATCATACAATTCGGATCTGGGATGCGGAGACGGGGAACCCAGATGGGAGAGCCATTTCAAGGACACACACAATCGTATCAAGTCTGTTGTATTCTCGCCTGACGGCAGGTGCTTAGTCTCTGGGTCAGACGACAAGACAATTCGGATCTGGGATGTGGAGACGGGGAAGCCAGTGGGAGAGCCATTTCAAGGACACACAGATGAGATCTGGTCTGTTGCATTCTCGCCTGACGGCAGGCGAGTAGTCTCGGGCTCGCGGGATCATACAATTCGGATCTGGGATGCGGAGACGGGGAACCCAGTGGGAGAGCCATTTCAAGGACACACACAATCGTATCAAGTCTGTTGTATTCTCGCCTGACGGCAGGCGCGTAGTCTCGGGCTCGATCGACGAGACAATTCAGATCTGGGATGCAGAGATGGGGAAGCCAGTGGGAGAGCCATTCCAAGGACACACAGATTGGATCAGGTCTGTCGCATTTTCGCCTGACGGCAGGCGCGTAGTCTCGGGTTCAGATGACTGGACAATTCGGATCTGGGATGCGGAGACGAGGATGCCAGTGGGAGAGCCATTCCCAGGACCCACTGATCCGATCACGTCTGTCGCGTTCTCTGACAGCAGGCGCAGGCGCGTACTCTCGGGCTCGGGCAACAATACAGTTACGATCCAGGACCTAGGAACGGAGTAGATAGTGACAAGGGTGGATGATACTAACCCGATTTAAGATATCTACCCAGATATTCCCTCGTCTCCCTTTATATTTCTGTAACTACTCTTTACCATTAGGGGCACTCAGAGGAGTTTGTTGTCGGACGTGTATACTTTCTTGTTCAATTTTTTGCAGACGAAAACGCTGTATGATTTGCTATTGTCAATGGTTTATTACAGCCGATCCATATTTTCACCCGCACCTCACGATGATACTTAGATGTAGAAAGAAGTCCCATTATAAACTTTCATTAACGGCATAAGTACAATAATAGAAATAAAAGGAGCGGAAAGGACGACGAAAAAAAATGAAATACAGTCCAAGTCTACTTTGGAAACTGACCCGCAGCCACCTCAATCAAATTCTCCTCCCCTGGCGCATTCTGCACATATCTCGCATTGAACTTCAACACACTTTTAAACTCCAAAAACGCTTTCGGGGTAATCGGTAGGAAAGTATTCGCGACGAGGAAAACGACACCGTCAGTGCACGGAGGTATCGTCAACGATCCGGTATATTTGAATAGGGGAACAGTGTTGAAGAAATTCGTGATGTCGGAGAAGGAGAGTGGGCCTGTGGTGGTTGAGCTGCCTGGTTCTGTGATGGCATGGAGAGGAGCGGAGAGGGGGACTAGGAGGTTTGCGTTGGTTCCGGTGAGGGATAGTTCGAAGAGGGCTGCGAGGACGAGAATAGAACCGTCTGGTAGACTAAAATTTAGTTGAAGAACGGATGGTTTGAGGTTCAACGACTTACCAGACGCGACGTTGACGAAATGCACTTCCATTGGATAAAATTGCGCGTCGATAAGGTGTTCTGCGGGTGTATGGAAATGATATTGCTTCAGGCTGTACGTCTTGCCTTCAAAGATCGTAGTCCCGTTAATCACAACCTCAACCGTCGAACCCAGGTTCTCAAATTCCGCCGACTTCACATTGGGGATACTTATTTTCGGATGGGTCTTCGAGAGTGGGACGACGCCGTGCTCGATATTTATGGGAGACTGGACATTGGCTGTTGAGCATTTTACGTTTGCGGGGTTAAGGCCTGCCCAGCCGAGAGGACCGGTGACTCCGAGGTAGCTGAAGTTGCTGATGGGTACAGAGCCAGGACCTGCCTGGAGATTACGGAGGTGGTTGTGCAGACAGACGCCTTTGACGAAGGAGTTGGAGAGAAGGAGAGTCGACGCGATGGCGCCAAGGAACGTTGGGTTTTGAAAAAGCATCGTCTCGTGTGTGGTGCTCAAAGAAAGTTAAGGAGAAAGAGACGAGCAAGCGAGGGGTGGCTGACACGACACGAGTTGGTTGGGGGTTTATATAGAGTCTATGATAAAGGGAGCCACCACATGGCTAGTGTGGTAGTGAATGGCAATGGAAGTGTAACCGGCATTCGCTCAATGAAAAATACCAAGCCCTAGAGCTGCGCAGGGAAGGATGGTAACATCAAGCCAAAAACAAAAAGGGTAATGGTATCGACAATAGAAACTTTGAAATGGTTGAAGCACATACTGTAAGAAACGAGGAAAAGTTGTGCCCAAGCGGGATGAGAATAAGCGTTGAAAATGCTTAGAAGTTCAGGTCTTACCAGAAGGACCAGGATTGAATACGTTTGAGCCGAAAAGAGTCAGGGGTGGCATTTAGTTGTGGCCTTGTCGCGTCGCATTCCAAGGTGGCAACAGGAACATTACGGAGTGAGCAGAAGGTGACCGGTGACCGCCAGTGGGCAGGGGCGACCTTCAATGTAACGCCTTTGAACTGTAAGATCCGACTTCAATTTGAAGCAGGTTTGAAGTGAAAGCACTTCCATAACGTCGCGCCAAGAGTGCTGAAGCTGAAGTTTGACTGTCAGATGAAGACAAACTCGTAAGAACAACAAACAACTTGAAGACTCGGAGTCCTTTCCCAAATCCCCATTACTTACATACGTTCACTCCGCTGTTCAATGGTTGCGTGGAAGGCCGCCACAAGGCCAACAAGCTCTCTCAGCCGTCACTGTTTCCAAGTTTGCATTAGCAAGCGAGTACTTACATGCGGCAAATTCCCTTGAAGAAACGCGAGTGAGGTGAGACTACTGTCCACTTGAATGTAGGCACTCTTGTCGAAGTTCTGCACGACGTCAAGTTAGACGCATGGTGCCGGTGGGTTCGCCCACCACATAAATTCTTCGCGCTAGGATCCACACATGGTATGACTCGGACTTCTTTACTTCTGGGAAACGTGAACGTGTCTTCTTATTCTCCTTCAATTATGGCACAGTATGACCACCTTGATAGTCGCGGGACAAGGTTGATCGATCAAGTTGGGTGACTGAGAGGGAGGGCTGAGGCCGCTTCGCTCGAGTACCCTTTGTCCGAATGCACTGCTGCGCAGGTTTCAGGTTTGTCATGGCACTGGTGCTGGTGGGCAGGAATGACTGACGTCGTACCTAGACTGGCAATTGCTTGTTCTTTTCTTGTGCATCTATTTCGACATCAGCGTGCTTGAGTATGTTGCAATTGCTGTGCATTCTGTGAATAAACAACTGACCGTCCGATGCACAGCATTGTTGTCTCAAATTGGACAGGGACGCAAAGCAGGGTCCATTGGGCGCGTTGTGTCACATGTGGTATCTTATCCATAACGATCATGTCCTCTCCTCCTCCTAACCAGCCGTCCGCAGGATACGATGTAAGTCGCCCCTTTCACCCTCCATCAACCATTTAGACTGAAATACTTACGTTGGGTTCCTAGACATCCTCATCTGCAGCACCCACATCAGCCCCTCCTTCGGCTGGCCAATACCCACCACCCCAAGGCCAATACCCATATCCATATCCATACCCGTACCCTCCGCCTCCAGGACACATGCCATACGGTTCTCCAGGTCAACCGCCCTACCCGCCCTACGGCTACCAACCTGCTCCCTACTACCCACAATACGCTTACCACCCCGGACCATACGGCGGACAACCGATGCCTCAGCCTCCTCCAACCGTCCCAACACCGAATTTGGCAGGGCAGGGCGCTCCTCCTACCACCACCCCAGGCCCTCAGTCGAACGCTCCACCAGCTTTCCCGTCGAGTGATGCTTCCGTTAACGTTCAAGCTCCCCAGGCTCAAGCTCCGTACTACCCGCCGCCGCCTATGCCAATGGCATACGTCGAACCCCTATGGTACCTAGGCACCCCAATCGTCGACCCGCACGCCCCTCCAGCTCCTCACGGGGTAGTTAAAGTCCCAGGATACGATCCTGCAGTTGATTATGAGAAGATACAGAAGGCTGCGGGGAGTGGGAGGGGGGATGAGGCGAAATGTATGTTTTTCTTTTCGTGTGACGTGACGGTGCTGACTGAACGAAATGACAGTGACGGCAACCATTCTCCCGCTGAACGTATTCCAGATGGACGCGCTTGGTGATTTTTGTGTTGCAAAGTTGGGAAAACGGCTTCCTGACAAGTTGGAGAAATGTACGACTGGGAATTACGCGTACGTTGCACACTTTCTTTTTTATATTTAACATGAATTCGGGATCAATCTCATCTTGAATTCAGGTTGGCATTGCGGGGTCTTATACTCGGCCCACTCGGATACGACGTCGAGTTGGCGCATAAAGCGATCGTTGGGCTTGGGTGGGTTGTCCATCTCCTCTCTCAATGCACATTGATGAATAACAACCTCTCGTTTTGCTTAGAACGAACGAAACCCTCCTAATAGAACTCATCCTCGGCCGACCGGCGCACGAGATCCGCCTGCTCATTGCTGGCTATCGGCTGCGATATGGTAGGGATTTGGTTGAGGCTGTCAAGTCTGATCTGTCTGGGAAGACGGAGCGAAGTACGTGCCCTTACATTGCTTTCTGCGATTGAATTAATTAACGGACTTGGAATAGTGTTCATAATGGCATTGAACGCGCAACGACCACCCGATACGCTCCCTGTGGATCCGAAACAGGTCGCGGCGGACGTTGAGACGTTGCATTCTGCTGCTAAGAAGCGGGAGGAGGTGCGTCTGCTCACGACTTCTTGGTGAGGCGGGAAATTGACGGTTGAACTTTCTTTTAGATCCCATTTTGTGAAGTTTTGATTAATAGGTCACAACCACACCTTGCGGCAGTGTACGTTCCTCTTATACCACGCATGCACCGATTAATGAATATGTGCATAGGATATCGTCATTTGGGTACAAGTATAAGAGTTTGAGTAAAGTTATTAAGAAGAGTTTGTGAGTGTCTCCTTCCTTCCTTCATTCCTCCATTCCTCACCCAACCCTCAACGAAACCAGCGCAGGAGTTATAGAAGAATCATTCCTCTACATCATGCACGGCGCCAAACCTAAACGGGACGGGCAGGGAATATGGCGAGACGCGAAGATGTTGGAGAAGAGTATGGCGGGGTTGGGGACTAGGGATCAGCAGCTTATTTATCGGTGGGTTCCCTGTTTTTTTCCCCTTTCCAACGCCTGTTAACGGTTCGTTTCTTTTTTTATATTTAGGTTGATAAGAGCCCACTGGAACCCAACACGCTTCGAAGCTATCAAAGACGCTTATAAAAGGCGCTATGGGAAGACGTTGGAGCATCGGGTGAAGGGTGAGACGAGTGGTGCGTATAGGGATTTGTTGATTGCTATTGTGAGGTCGAGTGAGGGGAAGAAGTAGGGGTGTAGGCGCAATGGAATGGGTTTTTTATGGACTTGTGTATAAGAGTGTACTGTACTGGATGCTAGGGTGCTTGGGAAGTTATTTTATCTAGCGCACAATACGGGCGTCAAAGTATTTTGGAGTTCCTGATTACAATTAGAGCACGGAAGATCGGGACATGCGGCAGGCTGCCTTACGGTAACCTGTACGTTGAACGTTTTAAACACGTTAATCCACGGCGGCTATCGCCGGGCTTCAAGAGCTGGGAAACAGATTAAGTAGTAGTACCCTAGCGCCAGATATATAGAACAGGACACCTTTCAAACAACCAACGCGCTACTCACGATCCACTTTTCGAATATGTCGGACGCCGACTCCTCCTCTCAAGCTGCCGAACATGGCAATTCCTCTGATGACCTGGACTTAAAGATGCTGGTCTGCAAGATCAAGATCCCGCACGTCGCCCATAACGGGGTCCACATCTCCTCCGTGCGCACACCTCGTGTGAATCGGGTGCAGCGGGGTCAAAGTCAAGGTAGACCTTTCCCATCCCTTGTCTTTTCTCTCCTGCTGGTGTCGCTGAAAAGGGTATACATGATGTAACAGCGTTAATCCATCTCGAAGAATTCGGAATAAGCGCCGCGCTCCTGAACAAAACCTACCAATCCATCATAATCGTAGTCGACATCCTCCTAGTAGACGCCGCCGATCCAGAGGACGTCAAGCTTTGGTACGTGGAAGACGAAGGGCCCCGATTCCCCGTTGTCGATCCGGATGGAGCGGTGTTGTTGATGAGGGAGTGGAAGGCGCTTCAGACGAATCAGCAATACCAGACTATGGATGCGATGGATGCGGTGGTGACGAAGCATCGGACGATTGATTTGCGTGTTGAGAAGATTGTGGTGATTGTTCATTGGATTGGGATGGATACGAATAGTCAGGCGAATGTTAATGTTAATGCGAGGGTTTATTATAAGGTGGGTTTGTCTTGTTTTCAGGGCTTTTGTGACTGAGTTGGTAATGCGTTCTCTTTTTTTTTTTTGATACTAGGAGGAGACATTACCTCCGCCTCCTCGAGCGTTGCCTGCCGAACGGCTGATTGGGTCGTGATGCATGATTGCCTATCTCCCTACCATTTCTGTGAATGCCGAGAAGAGTAAGATTTGAGTAATACCTTCTCTAGGAAGGCAATGAAGTAGAGAGAGAAGCCAAAAATATACGCTGGGAGGGTAAGTCTCTTTTATGCGCGAGAGAAAGATGAGCACCCCGAAATACGAGAGTTTTTGCCAAATCCTATTCACTAATAATACTACACTACTACGCTCCTCGACCACTAAGATTATAGAGTAAATCACACAAAAAAGACGAACAAGATAGAATGTATATATAACGAGCGGATTCGACGTTTATCAAGCGCGTCTGTCCATCCATCCAATCCAGTCACGAGCCTCCGCTGCCATTGCTATAGCTAGTTTTGTATACGGCTATCAATCTGAATAGAGTAAGGTGGGACAAGTGGATGGACGGGTAAGGGAAATAGAGGAAATGGGAGATTTAGATAGAAAAGGCCAGAGATAATAAGGATCGTGGTCACTATAGGTTGTTTTATCTATTAACCTAGATAAGCTTCCGTTGTGTTCTTCGTTTACTGTATGATCCCCGAGATCCGGCGGGAGAGGAAGAGTGAACAGAAGAAAGAATAAAAGGGGGGGAAAGAAGAGAGATAACAATGTTATAGATCACTTCTCTATACGCTGCTGGCTGCGTCGTGGGCAGCGGTCGGAGGGATAGCCGACGTTAAAGGGAACGTTGGAGCCGAAGTAGAAGTGGACGCGGGAGTAGTTTTTCCATGGCGTCTAAGCAAAGGGCTGCCCAAAATATCCAGGCGGTTCTCTGCTTTCATGCGTTTCGCCGTGACGCGTTCAGGGTAGTTGCGCATGAACATTTCTGTGAAGTGTGTGCCGTAGTGGATGCCCTTATCCTCAACCTGAACGTCTTTGCCCTGGTCACGGCCATACTCCGGAAGGGGCTGGACGACAGAGGAAAAGTTGGGCTCGTGGAAGTATGCAAAAGCGTACCGCTCGCGAGTGTTGAGGACAACTTTGTGTGGTGTGGAGGGAAGGTAGTCGTTTGTCATGTATTGCATCATGTCGCCTATGAGAAACGGTGAAAGTCAGAACTTCAATGTTCACTGCTACGTAAGGGACATTTTACCTGGGAAAACGGTGAGGACGTTCTCAACTGGAGGAACAAACGACCAGCTCTCCTGTTGGTCCTCCTTGAGTCCCCCTGAGTACTTCTCCCAGTTCCTCGACGTCTCACCAGAGTCCGTTGGCGGACGGACGAACAGGCCCCCGACGTCGTCTTGTCCAGCAATGACCAGGAGCCCATAATCCGTATGCGCACCGATCCCACGGCCTGGCTTGCCCTTGCCATTAGTCTTGTCGGCCTGGGGGAATCGTAAGACTCGCATATGGTGCCACCCGTCGTCCGTGAGGTCAGTGAATACATTGGGGTTAGCGAGGTTGAGGCCAAGCGCGGTAAGCTGGAGGAGCTTCTCGCCAGAGTCACCTAGGACAGCCATGAGTCGTTTCATGGCGGATTCATACAAGGTGTCTGGCCATGGGCATGGGCCGTGACATGGCCACTTTTGTTGGACGCGCGGGTCGGAGAGAGCGAGGTCTTTGGTGACTGTGAAGATCTCTGAATAGTCTGCAATGCCATCTGTGAGCTCTTCGCCCGAGGCAATGTAACCACTGAAACTCTGGTCATCAACGTGTTTCGCTTTTTCGTGGTGGGGGCGCTTGAAGTAGGATTTGCTGAGGACGAAGGCAGCGCGGAGGGCGGAGGCCTGGTCTGGGGTTAATTGGATTTGGAATATGCCGTCTTTCCGCCATGTTTGGACCATCTGTTGGCCGAGGGCGCGGTTTTCTGGAGTGGGTGCTATGTGTGGGGAGGAGGGAAGTGTGAAGGTGGTGAGTTGACCGATGGCGGGTGCGGGTTGGTTTGGACAGAGTGAATGTGCTGGTAATGGCACTGCCATTGCGGATGTACGAGGAACATGGGTGAATGGACGACGTGATGATGGTAAAAAACGGGGCAGCACGGTGCGGGAACGGAGAAGAGATTGGCGGTGAGGTTTGAGAAGGCTAGCCATGGTATACGGTGAGGAGAAAATGGGAGGGAAAAATATGAGGCTACGGGGTGACCAGGGATAGAACGGGGATGAAGAGCGGGGTGAGAGAGATGAGGGATTTGCATGTTGTGAGCTTTTAAAAAGAAGAAGAGTAGGAGCAGAGGAGGAGTGTTTACATTCGTTGTTTACGTTTGGTCAGTGAACGACTGTCATATGATAACCACGCACTGATGTTCATCCTAAACAAATCACCCTCACCCAGCGTCTCCCTAACGAAGATATTCGGAGCCGAACTAGGGCTGCTCACCCTGTCCGTCAGACGGGCACCGTCACCGTACCGTCAGGGCCTGTCGCAAGTCTCCTAACGTACGGTAGACGCACGGGGAAAGGCCGTTTGGAGTAATCAGGACTCATCTGTTTGTTACATCGCGCTAGTCCTAGTCTTCATCCCGTCTGATGTTCGTTAAGACTCGGAGACGACACGCGCACAGACAAATGCCGCCCTACGCTGCTAGATTAGTAACAATTGTTTTCAATACCGAAGGTTCTTGTCGTCTTTCCCAGCAGAGCTGCTTGGGATTGCTGTCTTCAGCTCCGACATCAGCATAAATGCATCAAACGGGAAACATGAGGAACGCGCTCCATGAGTGTGTACGCTGGAACGGGCAGTGATGCCTCCAAGGAGGTATGAAGTGATGATGGATTGTGTAAGTACTCTACCAGATGACTAATCTACTGCTCACGTGCCTTCTCGGGGGAAACACCATTCCCTATTCCAACGCGCATCAAGAACTGACCACCTGCCAGTGGCTTGCCTTGGATAAAAGCTGCTATTCCACATGACTATTAACGTCATGTGTCACAATGCTGTGTGCGGCGGCCGCGGATCCCAAAAGAAATGATGTTTCTGTGGCACCGCAAATACAAGTCGACTGGGCGAGGAGGCGGGTAAAACTATTCAGAAACCCCCCTTTCTGGTAGAAACCCGGGGTTTCCGAGGGTGGTTTGAGAAACCCTGGCACACGGTCAAATTGAGTTCTCGGTGACCGGTGATGGTCGCCGGCCGCGGCTATTATGTAGTCAACCAGTCACACGTCTGTTAACTCGCTCCCTGAGGGAATCTACTGGCCGCGGATTCCTCATGAGGTTATCATATCATAGAGGACATGAGCCGAATGTGACAACGAGAACGAATGTCTGACGCTACGCCATTGGTCAATGATAACAAATGTTGTGTGGCAAACGAAGGCTATCTGTCAAGCCCAGACACTCAACTTGATTGAACAGTTGAGGAATGAATGTTTGATAGATAGATGATCTTGAATTATGGTGACCGGTACACTGGTGAAAAATCTCAGTATCGAAGTGCGAGACGAATTGAAGATGCAGAGAAGAGATGAATAGAATAAAGATACAATCTGGGGACATGTAGATGACAAAACAATCACATATACCCTCCGAACCTGTATAGCGTACGCCCCGATCGTTTCAAGACATATATGTACAGTTCCTCAGACGCATTGGCTCGGACGCAGACCCATGAGCAAACGGCGCCAGGCTGCAGTCACATACAGCGGGACACAATATGCCGTAGGCGTGGGGAAGGAAAACACAGACGCAGTGGGTTGTAGATAGGTGAAGAAGGCGGCGCAATTTGAGAGAGGATGGAAAATGTCACGCATTGAAGAATGTAACCCGTGCTTCAACAGCTCGACTGCGCGTTTTTAGCGTTTTGCGGGAGTTGTCGTGACCCAAGGTCTCGTGGTGGAACTCTGCGACACAGCGGGCAGGAAGGAGCTGGCCATGCATTGTAAGAGGTCCTCAGAGTCCAGAGCGGGGCGTATACGTTGTTCAAGGATATGAGTGGTACGACGTTATCAAATATTTGGGACTTGAGACCGGATGGAAGGGGTCTTCAACCTTGACACCAATGAGTATCCGCATGTCAATGACAGTCATACGTGTTCCCCAATTCTTCCGCTCAGCGCGCTCTGTGTATGTTACTGACACATGAATAACCTTGGAGTGAATGGTCAGAGACACGATGAAGACAAGCGAGATGACCCACTTTTCAATGAATATTCTAAAAATACCACGCGTCGCCTCAAAGATGAGACCAGCGATACCCTTCACACCTCCACCGCGAGCAAGACGACGAATAGCGATACACAGGTCGGCAGTCCTGCATTGATTTCGCCCGACATCATCCTGGATTGCTTGACGATTTTAGAAAATACAGCAACTCCTCGGATCATTCTCCAGTGGGTTGCAAGTCTCGGAGCTCACGCGCTTCAGCCCAAATCCATTAGATTCTCTTGTCCACCATTCGTTCGGGTTTTGTTCTACCTACGGCGGCCGTTGAATAGATGAGATGATGATAGTGATGAAGGCACGTACCCTGGATGTTATCACGAGGTATTTCTCATGCAGAGTGGGTTGAGGACGTTGAGGTGGAGATACAAGGGTGGTGAGCGCGGGAGTTGTGAAGTGTACACGTGTGACATCACATAACGCCGTGGACGGCGAACCCATCAAAATTTCGGATCTGACTATAGAGGGTTTCTGGATAAGGTTATATCAGAAACGGGGGTTTCTACTAGAAAGGGGGGTTTCTGAATAGTTTTACCCCGAGGAGGCGGCCACGAGGAGCGAAGCTCCGAGCTGACGAGCAAGGCTGGTTTTCAACTATGGCGGAGGTTTAGATCTCATGAAATCTCTCTTGGAGGTGGCATCCTTTGCGTCTTACTCAATGTCAAGGGTGCTGATCTTCCCTAGCAGGGACTTGCATTGAGTCTTACATGAACACCGAATCTTTCATCAAGTACGCATGCTTGTCAGAATGTTTTCTCTTGACTTCTCACGTCTACTCCTTAGGACATTAGCGAATCCAACATGCTCGTCAACCATGTTCCTCGCCGTAGAAATCCCTTCTCTTGCGCCGAGAAGACTTTAAACCGAAGGCAGCTGCGAGCAGCCGGCCATCTGACATATTGCCTTTTTGATTTTGACCTTTCCTTGATGCTTCCTTCTGGAAAGCCGCTCTCCGACTACCGTTTGCCGATAGATGAGTCTTTCCCTGGAGTATTTCACAAACCTCACGGTGTAGAAGAAGGCTAGCTGGACTTTAACCCCTTCGCGTTTGATGTGTGGCTTGCCTTGGCATTTTCTTTTGCCACAGGTTTCAGGTACCCGGACTTCCACTTCTTAACGACAAACTCTAACATTTGTATATCAGGATTCCACACCCATCATTCCCATGTTGGCAGTCCTCATGGATGGAATGATCACTCGCAATATCGAGGCACGCTTCACGGCCGCTGAGGCTCTCTCATTTCTCGAGAGTTTCCGTATTCAACTGGATGCTGAGGTCCAAGTTGCCCACCGGCCTGCCGAATGTTCTAATTCACTCTGGAGTGCCTGGGACCAATGGGCTCGGCATTTAGAGGATTTTAGCTCGATGGTCCGCGTATCGTGACCCATCACCCGCGTAGACTGCCGTCTCCGCTTCTGAAAGTCTGTTACCATAATTTTGATGGCGATGCTAAGAAGGGTGGTTCGAAATTTTGTTTCTCCCAGCTCAGAACATACTACCCAAATAAACCCGCCGTGATTATCAGACGTCTGAATTAACGTACCTTTGATGCAAACGTTGGGCTTCGCGTCTCATGTAGTCTTCTATACGAGAGAGGACAACGAATGTGTCACCTCAATTGTACCAAGGGGGTACCGGGATTTAAATCCCAGACCAGGGGCCGGTTGGTTTGTTCGGCCGCTAATTTTTTTTTGACATAAAATCCCGGCACCTACGGTTGGCGAGCAGGGCCAGGTCTGTTTTGACGTCCAGAAGTTATAAGAAGCAACTAGGAAGTGATATTTTTATCTCTGGGGTCCATGTATTGAAGGCTGTGACGTTCATCGTCACAATTAATAATAATATAATTCTTTTTAATATACTTAAACAATTTATTACGCAATCCAGATGTACACTAGGCTACGATGACATGGACACGCTCACCTTCAACGCGCCCACTAGCATCTTGTTCCGACATGTAACTCAGAGGCGAAGAAGCAGCCTATCAGCGAGATGAACCCTAAGGAGGCCCTTGAAGTGCCTGACATGAACATGAGTCAATTAGCTGCCTTTCTCTTCGTTTTCCTCCGTACGCTAACCATCATTCCAAGTTGTTTGACCTATGTATCCCCCTTGGATGCGACTACCTCGAGCCTATCAAAGACGTTGGTCCGAAATTCCTACTCAAGCTGATACGTGAGTATGGAGCGTCGTGAAGGAAGCACTTGAGAGAAAAGTGAGTTCTCGTTACCACGCACATGCTGTTACTGATTCTCTTCCAGAGCCGCCATACAAAGAGCAGCTCAGGCTACCGTCGACTCGGACGAAGAGTTCGAGCATGAAGAGGAAGACGAACCAGCGCCAACGAGCGTGGAAGATCAAAATCCTACACCCGATGACTGAATGGATGCAGGAGAAACAGAGGATAGTCGAAGAGGCGCCAAGTGCACTCATCGTTGGGGGTGGTGCTTTGGGTATTCGTGAGTTTCCGCCATTCAACGCATGGACTATGGATGTTGACGATGAAACAGCTGAAAACGAGAAATGCGGCCTATAAGCTCTACTCAAGCCCTAGCTGCCCCCGCCATGCCATCTCTCCTTCTCCACCACGAACATCGCACAGCGTATCGTCACCAGCGTCTACGTGTCTTCCTCCACAGGCGTCGACGCAGCATCCGCTTTCTTCGTCGGGACATACGGCCGTGCCCACGAACTCCCCGTCGCACTAGGAACACCAGCAGCTGGAGCCGTAGTGGTCGCAGGTGACGCAGTGGTGGGAGTTACAGGACTAGCGGAAGCTACTGCCGCTGGGGAAGGGGTGATGGGAGCAGCGGGGGCAGGTTTGGGTTTAGGCATACCGTTGGCAGCTGCTGCGTTTGCTGCGTTCATCCATCCGTACTTTCCACCTGGGCCTGCTGCTTGTGTTGCTACGGCATTGTACATTTTCTTGCACATATTATATTTCTAGGGATTACTTACGCTTTACTGCTACATACTAATGGTACCTGAAAAGAGTGACACATATGGTATACTCATTGTGAATACGTCGGAAGCGGTGACAAGGACCCCAGGCTCCTGTCAATTTTTTTCGGATCAGGCTCTATCAGGCTTCAAACAGACCTGACCCTGCTCGCCAACCGTAGGCACCCCCTTGCAGTATACTTACCTTACTCATCATAGTCAGCACACGGTCATTGCATATACAAGTTTTTTTTTTTTGAAACATTGTGGATCAGGCCTCAGGTCTGGGAGTGACTGGTGGTTTCGTATTTTTGACTTCAGTGAGCGTATTGGCATCATAGTATACTTGATTGATGAGAAAATTAAATTCGCAGATGTCCTACTTATGGGGTAAATTGGCCGCCGGAGAGCTGCCCAGAATTGGTACCTTTAGGCTTTCAGTGTTTCATCACGATCACATTCGAGGACGGCTGGAGCAAACAAGATCCATATCGGTTGGAACGACTGAGAAGGGGAAATTGGGATTGAAAAGGCTTGGATCAGACTCGGACTGGCAAGAACTTCGACCATCATGTGACTTTGTTCCGGCTTGTTTGTGCATATATTTTTGGATCGACTTTCTGACTGCAATGCATGGTTTGCCCAAGGTGTGTACCCCGTCCCCCGACTCGAAATATTGGTCTCAAAGACGCAGATCTCATTCGAACCAGAGTGCATCGATGACTTTGAAGGAAAATTTCGATTTTGGGCAGCCCTCCGGCCTTAGTTTCAACAACACGGCTATTATCTCCATTTTCATGAGAATAGAGAAGACGGCATCCGTAAATATTCTTATCCTCAGACGGTTTTTATGGGCGAAGACAAATTTCCATATGCACATGTTAGAGTAAACGAACCCCAAGGAGATGACTCATTCGGAGATGATGAGCCCAGTGATATTAAGCCCGCATTCACATCGCGAGGGGATTCTTCTGTACGTAAATCCTTTTCTTCATGAACGTACTTGCAATCGACGCTTTTGAATGGGCGTAGGGACGCATTCATTTCGCTCAGGACTCTTAAGGCCGTCACGTTGCGATCAAATTGGTCAAAGGAGATTCGGATGAGTATAGGATTACTCGTTTCCTGAGCGAACAACCGTCTTTCATCCCTGGGGTGGTTCCAATCCTTGCCCTGCTGCCCTACGATGGTCATTGGTTTCTCGTGATGCCACGGTCAGATTCACTTGTTTGTTTGGAGAAGTGGCTAGTGCTGACATTGGGGCATTAGATGGCATAGGGGTGTGAGTAGACCCTGGTTCTCTACTTTGGGCGAGATTTTAATTCTCATGAAATGTCATTTGGAGGTTATGTTCTTTGGTTTTCGCAGATCCTGAAGAAGTCCTGACTATTTTTCAGGGTCTAGTATTTTTACACGCCCACCGAATTTTCCATCGCGTATGTAGGATCACCAGTTGATTTATTTTCTTAATTCCACGCTACCCCGTAGGACGTCAGGGAACCCAACATGCTCACCAATCATATTCCCACTGATCACTATACTGTCGACGAAAGTCTACATCGAGGACAACTTCGAGCAGCGGGCCGTCTGACATATTGTCTTTTTGACTTCGACCTTGCCATGATGCTGCCTGCCGGAATGCCACTGTCTGAATACCGTCTGCCCATAGTCGAATCAATTCCTGGCATAAACTACAAGCCTTGGGGAGTAGACGAGGCTCAGCTGGACTTCGACCCCTTCGCCTTTGACGTGGCATGCCTGGGCATTTTCTTTTGCTGAAAGTTCCAGGTATTGTATTGTGACGCTTTGAAGCTTGAAGGCCCTCTCACATACCTATTTAGGATTCCATACCCGTTGTCCCCATGTTGGCACCCCTCATGGATGGTATGATCATCCGCGATATCAAGGCGCGCGTCACGGCTGCAGAGGCTCTCGCGTTCCTTGAAAGTTTTCGAACGAACCTGGGTCCGGAGGTACTTGCTCGCCAGCCTATCGAGGCGTCTAATACATTGTGGAGCTGCTGGGATCGATGGGCTGGGCTTCCAAAGGATTTCGTGGATCAGTGGTCCGCAGATCGTGACCCACCCCCTACTTATTCCTTTCGTCTTCTGCAGAAAATCTGTGGATACGACTTTGGGTGGCGGACTGTTACCAGGTTGAGGGAGGTGGCTCGAGATGTAGGGGCATTGTTTCGCCGACTTCAGAAATATTCAAAATCTGCCCTTGTTATCTCAAGGTCTAAATCTATATCTAACTTGATCGGAAAATCATCGGGCTTTGGGACATATCTGGATATATGTGTTATGTTTGCGAGGCTAGTAGGTGTGATACATCAGGTCGTGTTTATTATCCGACTTGAAGACAGCCGCCACGTACCTTGAGATTCCGAACCTAGTGGGAGAGGCCCAGAGGCATTCCAGTGCAGGTTAAGAGTAGATCAACCGCGAAGCTTCAGGTGACGCACTCAACGAGACAGCCTCCCTCTGAAACATCTATTTCAAAACTTTTTCAATTCAGAAGTCAAGTTTGATGAACGCTTATGCCGTAAGATGAGAGACATATTCGTTGGTTTGTTGCGATATGTGATCGTCCGCAGTAGAAATTATTACCAACCGACGAGAAAGGTGTTAATCAGGTCAAAGTGACCGTGATCGTCGCAGGCGAGTATCCACGCTGTCCTTGACTTGGAACATTGGCCTTCCCTGGATTGCAGGCGTGTTGTTCTGTTTTCAAGTTCGGAACTTCAGTAGGCCATGACACATGTCCAAATCACGATACTTAGCAGGAAAGATCTCTACCAACTCAAATATTTTGAAGCAGCGAAGCTCGCGCCGTTTATGCTACAACGGGGAATGGCGTCGGCGGTAGAGCCACACCCTTGAAGTCTCTGATTCGAGACGATGGTGCAATAGTTGTTAAATTCTCCGCAAATGTGAGTTCGTGTCGCAGGTTGCTTCATCGCAGTCTGAAAGTTCTTCTCTGGTCTTCTTGCCAGATAATACCTGGAAATTCAGATAGATGCTCTGCTCATTTTGATCAAAGTTACGGATGAGATCATGAGATTCGCATAGTAATGTCAAAAAATACCCACCAGATGCGCAGCTTGAAGCCAGCGGTGAAACTAATTGACCTTGCAGATGGGAGATCGATTCGAGAGCCCATAGTACAACTTTAATTGAGGACGCTCAGAGGACCCTCGGATCCCCATCGACGCTGGCCCAACAAAGACGACATCAACGATTCTCCAGATTGAAAGACTCATCTGGAGGTTCTGAGAGGCTCAAGGTGGCTGACCTACCTATCCAAACGCCCAGTCAGACTTGAGATAGACTTTCAAATCCTAGCGCTCACTGGCAGAACGCCCATGATCAATCAATACCCAAGAATTTTCTCACGATTCCCAAACCCCTTCCACGACATCTGCTCATCATTGGCGACGTCCTCGACGATGTCTTCCTCGGATTCATCATGTTACACGGTCGTATTCGAGTCCAGCGCCGAGTATCCGTCGGCCTCCGAGCTGCGCTCAGGCCTGGAGAAGGGTTCTGACGAGGTCAAAATCGACACGTTGCGCAAAATCATCATTTCGACCATCAATGGCAACCCCCAAGTACGCCTTATCATTCCTATTTCTTACAGAATGGAATGTTGATAAAGCCATTAGCCAACATTAATGATGCCTATCATCCAATTCGTCATGCCTTCACGGAACAAGCAACTGAAGAAGCTCCTGCACTTTTACTGGGAAGTGTGTCCGAAATATGACGAGAATGGGAAACTGAAGCAGGAGATGATACTTGTTGTGTATGTTTCCATCTCGTATGTAATGGACGACCGTTTGACCATCTTAATTCTGAAGGAACGCCATTCGAAACGATCTTGTGAGTTTGGTGTGCACCGACATGAGTCTTACTTACCTGGTTTCAGCAACATCCCAACGAATACATTCGCGGCGCGAGTCTGCGTTTCCTCCAGAAGATCGCGAAAGACGCCGAGCTTCTAGAACCACTAATACCCACTTGTAGATCATGTCTCGAGCACCGCCATTCCTACGTCCGCAAAAACGCAGTGTTCGCCCTCTACTCCATCCACCACGAATTCGAACATCTTATACCCGATGCCGCGGAGCTCATGTACACCTTCCTCATTGCCGAATCTGATTCGACATGCAAGCGGAATGCTTTCGTCTTCCTTGCCCATTGCTCAATGCCCAAAGCTGTGGAATACATCCTGAGCATTTACGAGACGATCCCGGCGCTCGACGAGGGGCTTCAAATGAGCATTATCGAGATCATTAGATTGGACTGCAAGAACGACTCGGCGCATAGGGTGAGTGTTTTCCTGCGGGGTACTCTACGTGCTCATAAAGTCTGCTCTAGTCAAGATACATTCGCTGCATCTTTGAGCTACTTAACGCTCCTTCCCACGCCGTCAAATATGAAGCTGCCACCACCCTCACCACTCTCACCCAAAATCCGGCGGCTATCAAAGCGGCCGCATCCTGCTTCATCACGCTGGTCATCAAAGAGTCGGATAACAATGTCAAGCTTATCGTGTTGGACCGACTGGACACCCTTCGCTCGAAACATGGGCATGTTCTAGATGGCCTTATCATGGACGTCCTTCAAATCCTGACCAGGTGCAAACTTTCAAGCTTTCCTCGTAGTTAAATTAACTCTTCCGGTAGTGCTGACATGGAGGTCCGGCGAAAGGCAATTAGCATCGTCTTGAGCATGACTTCCAGTAGAAACGTGGAAGAGGTCGCCTTGTTCCTCAAGAAGCAGCTGCAAAAGACACAGGAGGCGGATTTCGACAAGGTCTGTTCTGCTCATTTCTCCAACACGTAGTTATTAACCCTGCGCAGGCCGCCGACTACCGACAACTCCTGATCCAATCGATCCACGTCATGGCCATCAAGTTCTCCGAAGTGGCTGCCAGCGTCGTCCATGCGCTGATGGACTTCCTCGGAGACTCAAACAACCCCAGTGCGCTTGACGTAGTCTCTTTTGTTCGGTAACGTCCCTTCCTGCAAATTTCTGCCACCAAACTCACAACTCTTACAGGGAGGTAGTTGAGAAATTCCCTCGTCTTCGAGCAACGATTTGCGAGAAATTGATCTCGACGCTCCCCGAAATCAAGTCAGGCAAAGTCTTCCGAGGCATCCTTTGGATTCTTGGGGAATACGTCGAGTCCGTTGCCGACATTCAAAGCACTATGCAGGAGATTCGAAAGGTGCTAGGGGAGATTCCGATCTTGGCTTCTGAACAGAGATTGTTGGATGCAGCAGCTGGTGTGGACGGAGCCGGAGACGAGGCGAGTGATAAAGAGAAGCCCAAGGCTGATGGTGCCAGTAGGCCCAAAGTGTTGGCGGATGGGACGTATGCAACTGAAACGGCGTACACGAGCACTACCGCCGCGAGGCTGGAGGCTGTGAAGGCCGCTGCGAAGCCCCCTCTACGAAGTGAGTTTTCTTCGTTTTCGATGTGGTATTATGTTGACATGATGATAGCCTTAATCCTGGGTGGCGACTTTTTCACTGGCTCCGTTCTTGCTGTTGCCTTGACGAAGCTAGTTTTGCGTTTCGATGACAAGTCACAGGACCCTTCTGCCTCAAATATTCTTCGCGCTGAGGTCAACTTTGCCTCTCTCGAGTTCTTTTTTTTGCCAAGCTGACGCGTTTTCGCTGCTAGGCCATGCTGATCATGACCTCGATCATCCGCGTTGGTCAAACCAAGTTTGTCACGGTCCAGATTGACGAGGACTCCAACGAACGTATCATGTCTTGCATTCAAACCCTGAGTGAACTCAAGTCGCAGCCTGCTGTTCACGAAGCGTTCTTGGAGGACACCCAAGCAGCGTATACGAAGATGCTGGGTGCTCAAGAGGTCAGTCACCTTGCCTCGTTCCTTATGACAAAGTCTGAAAGGAAATTCGTGATAGAAACGCGCTGCTGAAAAGAAGGAATCCGAGACGACGAAAGCTGTTGTTGTCCAAGTTGACGATCTGTTGACTTTCCGCCAGTTTTCCAAAAAGACGGCGGATGATGCCATCGATGTACGTTTATCTGGATTCCTTCTTCTTATGACCCAGGACTGATGATAAATATCAGTATGATGAGGATGTCGGCAGGGCCACTGGCTCTGCTGAAGTCCAGGAGGACTTTATGTCGAACCTTAGCCGTATCTCGCAGCTTACTGGTGAGTTACCCCTTCATGTGGCAAATATTGGTAACCTCAACCACGTTCAGGCTTCTCGGACCCCATCTACGCGGAAGCCTACGTCAAGATGCATGGTTTCGATATCCTTCTTGGTTTGTGACCCCGATATGTCGTCGTTCCTTCTTTTGACTGCTTGATTTAGATGTTTTGCTCGTCAATCAGACAGGTAACACCTTGCAGAACCTCTGCTTGGACTTTGCTACTCTTGGGGACCTCAAGATTGTCGAGCGCCCTGCGGTGTATACCATCGCCCCTCACGGCTTCCAAAGCATCAAAGCCACCATCAAGGTTTCGTCGACGGAGACTGGCGTCATCTTCGGCAGCATCCTATGGGAAGGACAGAATATGGCTGAGGCTTGCGTTATCCTCAACGATATCCACATCGACATCATGGACTACATCAAACCCGCGTACTGTACCGAGCATCAAGTAAGTCGAAACCCTACCTGTATCTCCAATGTGGAAACTGAGAGATGGTTATAGTTCCGTAGCATGTGGACCGAGTTCGAATGGGAGAACAGAGTCAATGTTAACTACCCTCTATCGTGAGTACCCCTTCCCTCTGCTCTTTGATTAGAAATGGAACACCAATGCGATGTTCATCAGCGACCCCCGTGAATACCTGAAGCATGTCATGAAAACGACCAACATGTCCTGCCTCACACCAGAAGGCGCCACTTCAGGGGAATGCGACTTCCTCTCCGCGAACATGTATGCTCGCAGTCTTTTTGGTGCGCACTTTTTCTGTCTATAGTCATGTAACATGTTCTGACTACCACACAGGTGAGGACGCCCTGGCGAACTTGAGTGTGGAGCGGACGGAGGCGGGCACGATTACGGGTCATGTTCGTATTCGGAGTAAAACGCAGGGCATTGCCCTCTCTTTGGGTGACCGCATTACGATGGGTAAGTTTTCAGCTTCTCCAGCAGGAGAGTGGATTCGCTTATATGGATTGTTTTCGATTGTAGCTCAGAAGGATAATAAGGCCCTTCCTGTATAATCATTACATCCGTTCTGCAGTTGCGGTAGACCACTTTACGCTTAATTCATTGACATTATCGCAGAATCGTGAGCTTCCCCTGCAGACGCCAGTCAGTGCACATGCATCTCCTCTCCGATTCACCTCTCAGATCTGGGTCTTTGGACTGAACCCAGCGTCCTCCCCATATCGCGTCCTGACGCAAATCCTTCCTCGAATCTTTCACATCATCCCTGTCATTGACAGTCCTTGAGGCTCACATTCGCAACAGCTGTCAGGCCTTCTATTGACCTTACCAAGAGTTCTTCAAAGCAGAGCGGAACGCGGTTGAAGATATTCGTTCTGATCTGGCTCAAGTCGAGGTAGAGTGGGTAGGAACCGAAATATACGCATAAGAAACACATTGTTGTTTCCTAGGAAAGATAATGATACAAGGATATAGTAATACATACGCATGCGAAACTGCCGAGAGTGACGACAAGTAGCCAGCCTGTGGAACGTAGTAGTGACTTGATGAACGTTTGACAATCTACCCTGTTGGTACACCGAGTGCAGTCCTCTAAAGGAGAGCGATAGAATTAGCACAAAAAACCCGTTCTAGAAAGAGGATATGAGCCGAACAATTTGTATATATGTTGTTCGTTCGGCCGGAGGCAGCATGTTGATTTGTTCAGGTGTCATCGAAAGAACCCGCATGATAAGTGCCTTGGGAGAACAGAAACGTCAGGAGGACGACAGAGGATGAAAGGACGTCATGCGCACCTTCTGGTCATCCGGAATAGCCGCAAGGGCCTCTGGCAAAACCGATGTTTGTGGAGCCTGCGGAGGGGGTTGAGGTGCCCCGTACGTTGGAGGATACCCAGGATAAGCCGCCTGTGCTTGATGATACGGGTAGCCTTGATATCCGTAGGGTTGCTGGGGGGCCGGAGCGCCGTAGTATTGCTGGCCATTCGCATAGGCGTAACTTTGTTGTTGTTGGGGAGGCATTACTGGTGGCACGGCCGATGGAGGTGTAGCCGTCCGTGAATGAGGCTGCTGCTGCTGCATGTGCGGCGGTATTGCCGACGCTGGCGTTTGGGGCACAGGAAGGGGTGCTACAGGTGTAGCACCCATCGGAGCAGCTTGGGCAACACTTGAACCGAATTCCGCGAGTGTTTTCTGTTGCGACATTCGTGTCAGGCTCTTTGGGTATTTTTTTCGCAGATATTGACTCATACTCACCTTGAAAACCTCCACGTCTATCGCGTTCATGCTCACCATGAGACTTATGAGTGCATATGCGATGGCGGGTTGACTGTTCAAGATCCCGCGTGCTGCTGTGGGGGTAGTTTTCTAGTATTGATCAGTGCGCCCAGAGATGTGAGATGAGGTCTGCTAACTTTAAGGGTCAGAAGGAGCTCTAATAGTTGCTCTGTCGCCATATTTGCGTTGGACATCGTCGACGGTGGTGAAGGGGGTTCGGTTGTTGATTTTCTAAGAATTACATAATAACTTCCTGCAAGCAAGTGCCATCTGGTGCGTCTTTTTTGACATTATGCGACAGAGCTGCCCTCTCATCCGTAGAGAGCATAACATCTTTTATTGGATTTTTTACTAGGTCCCAAATCGCCCAAAGTGTACTACAAGCGCAACCGTAAGCCGCGCAGTCTTGAGTGACGTCTCTGAGGTTCTTTCTCCCTTCCTCCAATTGCGACTGAAGGTTGGGGAAAGGAAGACACATCCACTTGTGTAGTTCGATGGTGCGTCCCCGCGTCCATTAGTTTATGCCCATTTTGTGTCATTTACCTCCTTCTAGCACTCCACGGAGCCATCTGAATATCCAGGTATTATCTGGACCAGAGAAGAACTTGCAGGCTGCGATGAAGCAATCCTGCGTCACGAACTCCCAATTTAATAGCTATTGCACCATCATCTTGGATCAGAGATCTCGAGGGTGTAGCTCTACCGACGCGGAGGCGATGGCACTCGTTGAGTGCGTCACCTGAAAGTTCGTACTCTTGAGTCAACTTGCGCTCGAATACCTCTGGGCCCCTTCCACTAGATCGCTAGGAGAGAGGTACTACTAAATCTAGACGTAGGCGATGATACGCGCTGGGTTTGGAATCTCAAGGTACGTCGCAGGTGTCTTCAAGTCGGATAGTAAACACGACCTAAGGTATCACACCTACTAGTAGCCCCGCAAACATAATGCAGATATTCAGATGTAGTACAAAGCCCAATTATCTTTCGAATAAGTTGGATATAGATTTAGACCTTGAGATAACAACGGCAGATTTTAAATATGTTCTGAATTCGGCGAAGCAATGCCCCTACATCTCTAGCCACCTCCCTTAACCTGGTAACAGTCCGCCATCCAAGGTCGTATTCGCAGATTTTCTGCAGAAGACGAAAGGAATAAGTAGGGGGTGGGTCACGGTATGCAGACCACTGATCCACGAAATCCTTTGGAAGCCCAGCCCATCGATCCCAGCAATTCCACAATGTATTAGACGCCTCGGTAGGCCGGCGGGTAAGTACCTCCGGATCCAGGTTCACTCGAAAACTTTCAAGGAATGCCAGAGCCTCTGCAGCCGTGAAGCGCGCCTTGATATCGCGGGTGATCATACCGTCCATGAGGGGTGCCAACATGGGGATAATGGGTACAGAATCCTAAATAGGTATGTGAGAGGGCCTTCAAGCTCCAAGGCGTCACAATAACTGGAAGTTTTGGCAAAAGGAAATGCCTAGGCATGCCACATCAAAGGCGAAGGGGTCGAAGTCCAGCTGAGCCTCGTCTACCCCCCAAGGCTTGTAGGGGACACCAGGAACTGATTCGTCTATGGGCAGGCGGTATGCAGAGAGTGGCATTCCGGCAGGCAGCATCATGGCAAGATCAAAATCAAATAGACAATATGTCAGACGGCCCGCTGCTCGGAGTTGTCTTCGATGTAGACTTCGCTCGACAGTATAGTGATCAGTATGAATATGATTAGTGAGCATGTTGGGTTCCCTAATGTCCTATAGACAAGCGTAAAAATAAGAGAATAAATCAGCTGGTAACAACAAACAAGTGCATCTGACCGTGGCATAACGAGAAACCAATGACCATCGTAGGGCAACAGGGCAAGAATTGAAACCACCCCAGGGACGAAAGACGGTCGTTCACTGAGGAAACGAGTAATCCTATACTCATCCGAATCTCCTTTGACCAATTTGATCGCAACGTGACGGCCTTCAGAGTCCTGAGCGAAATGAATGCGTCCCTACGCTCGTTCAAAGCGTCGATGGCAAGTACGTTCGTAAAGAAAGGAATGCACGTACAGAAGCATCCCCTTGCGATGTGAATGCGGGCTTATCATCTCTGGGCTCATCATCTCCGAATGAGGGCTCATCTTCTTGGGGTTCGTCTACTCCAACATGTGCGTATGGAAATTTGTCTTCGCCCATAAACACCGTCTGAGGATAGGAATATTTACGGGTGCCGTCTTCTTTATTCTTATGCAAATGGAGGTAATAGCCATGCTGTTGAAACCAAGGCCGGAGGGCCGCCCAAAATCGAAATTTCCCTTCAAAGTCATCGATACGCTCTGGTTCAAATGAGATCTGCGTCTTTGAGGCCAATATCTCGAATGGGGGACGGGGTACACACCTTCGGTAAATCATGTAGATCGTGCATTTTAGTCGAAGTTGCAGCTGAGTGGTCGAACGGAGCTATGTTCAACAAATTAAAGTGGCCTTGTTTGTGCAATCATCTGACATGTTAGATCGGTCACGCTCAGTAAAAACTAGACTCGCAAGCCAGTCACGCTCGCAAGCTCTATGTCACAATGTCACAGGACGTTACGAGGCACATGACAAGAGAGGGGCGAGCTTGCGAGCGGACTGGAAACTCTTGTCGCCCTTTTGGCAGAGAGTCGATTTCCCCGCCAAACCAGAGGGGGTCACTTCAACAAAAAAGGCTTCAATTTTGAAAAAAAAAACACCCCAAAGTTAGTATACGAAAGATGATTTTTACAATGAGTAGAACTAAAAAGAGTATAGAACTTTTTTTATCAAAAAATGAATTTGTTGACTTCGACGTTTTGAGGTCTGTGCACATCGTCCAAATTTAGCTCTGCTGTCCCACACATCCTTCCACCCCTTCCATATCCAATCTCCCCATTCCATCCTCTACAGGCCCTCGCAGACGACTGAAAAAGCTGTCATACACACTAGGTCCAAATGAAATTGAAGGTACGGCTGATTTTTGCACACCAATTGAGGTGGAGGGACCTGATTCATGATGTGTCGACAGACGGAGTCGCTTCGGCAAGGTAGCAGGCAATGCAGAACTTAGCATTTCCGTGGGTGCAGAGCGTTTAGAGGCAGTTGTGGTGCATTTTGACCTTGCTAAACTAGGAATTTTGAGACTGACAAGCAAGTTGAACAGTCTATCACCGAGGAGGCTCCAACGCGCCCAACTTGACTCCACCAACGATGCGAGGTGCTCCTTTGTTTGTATCGGCCCAACAGAGGACAAAAGTTCACATGTTGGATCATCAAGCAGAGCCTGTGGAGCCCACATTGCCCTTGGATAAAGCTCGCGCTTCACAGACCTGCACCAGGCATACAACACATCTCAGACCAAGGCGACAGGTTCACCTTTCTTGACGGAACATTGGCGAGCAGTGACGATCGGTTCGCTGGGGCGGGTTCGGTCAAAAAGCTTTGGGTTGCAGAGATCACAACATCGAGTGGGCGACACATCTGAGAATGTTGGGTTAGTTCTCTTCACTCCGAGTACAGTAGTGGATCACTAACATGAGGGCTTATTCCGAAAGATTTTTGTCAATATCAGCCGATGACAGACCGTTGTTTGAATGTACCAATACAAACCCTCTCCCACCACATCACCTGGAATCTCTTCGCACTCTTCTAGGCGTGTCATTGTGTCATGAGCCCCACTGTATTGGCCATGCTTTGCACCATGCGACACCCCATAGGTTGGGCCATTTTTTGCTGGTCTTCCCTGGCCTCTGCCTCGACCACTATGGCCCCTCCCATGACCGCCGCGGGTGTTACATCTCTGTGAGACTGATGCTGTGTTTGTGCCAAACTCGCCTGACGACGCTGCAGTAGTACTAATTTCGAAAGCAGACTTTTCAACGATCATAACGGCAAGTCCTTCACGACCTGCAGCCTGGGCAGCTCGACCCGCACACTGAACCCATGAGGAAAGATTTGAGGGGGCTTTCCACTGAACAACGATGTCGACATCTGGGATATTGCATCCCTATGTCATTTCAGTATCTGCTTTTCTGCATGCACATGAATGATACTTACCATGCCCGCAGCATCAGTGCATACAAGAATGCGAATCACTCCCTCCTTGAACAGCCGCAAAACCAATTTACGGTATGTTGTAGACATGGCAGCGTTATATGGATGGACAAGGCCCTTTGCTCGGAACTCCTCTTTTACTTGAGAATTGAGGTGATTGATTAGAGCTGCACCTCCTGCGATGTCATCTGTGTAGATAAAACTTTTCTTGATGTCAAGGGGGGTGGTCATGTTGTCAGGTATGAGGAAGTCGAGGTCGCGATAAGTATTCATTGGGTGCTCCATAGCGCGAACAATCTGTGCAACATTAGACTGCTCATTACCCTTGTTGATAAATAGATATTTCTCTCGGTCAAACTGGAGTTTGTTGATGAGGTCTTCATGCACCCGTGGTGTTAAAGTTGCTGTCACTGCAACAATGGGTGTATCTCGGGGAAGAAATGCTCGAACAATTCCCAATGAGCTGTATTTTTTCCGAAAGGAGTCTCCCCAATGCGACACACAGTGTGCTTCATCGACAAAAACGGACAAGCAGCGGGAACCAAATTCAGGTTTTCGGAGGACACCATCTATGAAATGTCGAAAGACTGCCTGCAAGGTCGCCGCAACTGGCCTTTTTGTCTCATGTTATGATAACATAAACATGATGATACACGTGGCGGAACAGATACTAGGTTGGAAAAGTACGTGAGATGAATTCTAATTTGGTCTCTTCGAGAACTCATGACACATACCATTAGATGCCCAGGAGAATGGAACTTGTGCAACCATTATACCTCTCCACAATGCGACACTTGAGGGCCTCTCTACGGAACGTCTTGATGAAGCTATCATGACTGCCCCGCCATTGATGCTCGAGGATTTGGAGCTCAATGAAGCAGAATCAGAACTTATGAATTGCGCCCTCGTACACACGATCCTATCAGTTATCGTGAGGTATGGTGGCGAGGGCTTTGAACAGTGGAAAGCTGACCTTGACAAATCTTGCCCACAAAGCGCCGAAACGATTGGCGTACACCAAACCTCACTGCATCCCTTACCAGCCATGGAAATTGACGAGAACACAATCACAGGAAATGTGGAGGTCATAGACACAATTTTTACCGAGCTTCATCTTGACCAGGGGCATGAAGATTTCACGAAGTTCGTCAAGATCATCGCTGGCGATCAGTTGACTATTGTGAGACAGCGATCAATTCTGAATGTACGTGTGGGTCATGAGAGCGGAGCTGATGCATGGAAACATATCGTACTCATGCCTGGGTTGTTTCATGCAAAGATTGCCGATTGTCATGGCCTCCTTCAAGTTCACTTTGGAAAATCATCAACTCGCAGTCCAGGAAGCCTTGCATTTCACAACACTTGCCTCGACCGGATCCCAATTGTCCTGACTTCCCTCCCATCATTTCATGTCTGTCGTGATTTGAGTATGGTGTCCCTCTATGCCCGCATCCTCCATTGTCTCCTGCTAGTCTCTGGAACAAGCACCCTAGAAGAATACATCAGCAAGAAGCCGACGTGGGAAGCAATGAGTATCCACGCACGCAAAATTCTGGAGACATACGCGAATGCTGATCGAGTCCAAGAGCTTCGAGAACCGAGAATTGTCGAGGAACGCAAACGAGATGCAGAAAAGAAAGCAGAGAAAAAGAGCGACATTCCACCCAAAAGTGAAGCAACAGCGCAGTCAAAGAAACCCCAAGAAGTTCCCCTTCCACACATTCCGAAAGGCGACATGGTGTTTGAGAACGCAAGTTTGTTTATGCGTGATGCTCTCCTCACACGACTCTTTTCGGACGCAATCAAATCTGGCGACTCAGGCCTTATTATCTTGGTGCTCAAGCTTTGGTCCTTTGCATACTGGGGAAGCGGACGGCTAAAATATGCACACGAAATGCTGCACCTCCTTCACAATCTCGTCAATGTTTGGACATCTCAACTTCGGTATGTGTAATGCATCCATGCAGAGTCAATTCAAGCTCGCACTTACATCCGGCATTCTCTCCCAGAAAAATCATAGTTCAGAACTGGTTACTTAACCCTACAGGAAAGGCTAATGCCTTTGTTGAGATTGACCTTGTGCAGGAACATCTCAACTTCTGGATTAAGGTGAGCCCCTCTCTGTTCGGCTGATGATGTTGTGATGCTACCACCTTCCAACAGAAAGTATACAAGGCCAACGGTGACGGTCATTCATGGGAGTGGCTTTCTCTCGTTTCTCTGTGTATTGATGTCTTGTGGCGACTTGCGAAGAAGATTCACGGTGAATTAGGTTCTCAGCTGGGATCAAAGCACACAATTCCCGACCTACATAAGGACATTCAAACCCTGATGGATGCTCTGAATGAGCACGAAGTCTACGTTGTGAAAGAAGGCAGGGTTTTGGATGCAAACGATACCCCCATGCCCAATGTCATCTCAACTGGGTTAGCGGCACTTGCTCATGGGAACGCAACCAACCCACTGGCTGAATTCAATGCTCAGTACGACAGCCTTCGCGAGCGCCGTAAACTCGTGCCTATTTCCGATCTATGCCCAATATCTGCCAACATGCGTCACCCTGAATCCTCGACAGCTGTCCCCATCCCTGTGATCACTGAACAAATACCAGCCAACGAAACAGGTTTGGAAGACGAATATGAAGGCTTACCCAAGTTGGCAATAACTTCAGACTCAGAGGATGAGGAAGATCGCGAAGATCCTTATGATGAGGATTTGTTTGCTGATTCACCAACCCTTAGGCGACTAGAGGAAGAGGATGTGGCGTTAGAGATGGATGATTTGGTGTTGGATGACCCTGGGATGGATTGGGATAGTGACGAGCAAGGAGACAGTGATGAGGACTTGGACTGAGGTTGCGCGCACAGACCCATCGATGACGACGACGAAGTCACTTAAAAATTTTACACAAAAACTTATATACTCAAATCTACTCTATGCCTCTCAAAAATCACTTTTTGTATACCCTCCCTGAGCACTTTTTTTCATCATTCCACACTTTTTTCGACTAAGTGACCCCCTCCAAAATGGCAGGGAGATTTTTGCCCTCTCAAAATGGCGACAAGAGTGACCAGCCGGCTTTTCGAATTGAGGAGTCATGCGAGTCAATTATGTAATCGAAAAGCCGGCTGGGGACGAGCCTAAGTAAAAACGAAAGTCAGGTCAAGTCATCTACCTCTCACAAGAAGGTCATGTGAAGTCACATTGGTAATTGCAAAGTCATGTGGCGCTCAGTTATGTATCTGCAAAGTTTTCACGGCCTAACTGAAGTCGAGGAATAGTCAGTTACAAGTCATGTTGTAGTCTAATCCTGGTCATCTGAATTACTATCGCCTTTGTCCTCAGTCAACAAGACAATTTGTTGAAGTCTGTTGAAACTCCGACATCAGGTGATCATGTTGTCAGTGCGAAAATTCCTTGTTCTTCCCAAGTCCTTCCATGTTCTTCCTTCCCACCACACCCACATAAGCTCCGATTCATAAGTCGACGAACAGCCTTCCCACGACGAACGCCTTCTCCCTCCCTCGACCAGCAGCCTCCTCTCATGACGAAGGGTCTCCTCCCTAGGTAGAGATGACGAAAGGCCTCTTCCCTCCCTCGACCAACGCCTTTCTCTTCCTCCTTCAGCAGACGATCTCCTCCCTCAACAAATGGTCTCCCCTTTGATGATCGGTCTCCGCCCTCGACAACTGGTATCCCCTCAACAAATGGTTTCTGAGATCTAAGCTCAACGAACTGTCTCCACCCTCGACGACCTGTCTCCTCCCTCTACGGCCTCTCTCTTCCTTCGACGACCTGTTTCTGCTTTCGACGAACTGTATCCTCCATCGACGACTTGTTTTCGCCTTCGACGAACTGTCTCCTCCATCAACGATGTGTGCCTCCTCCCTCACTCAATGGTCTCCTGCTGACTCACTCAATAGCCTCCTCCCTCCTTTGATGAATGTCTTTTGGCTTCCCCCCCCTATGACGATGAATGGTCTCGGCCTTCCCCCTACAGTCTCATCCCTCCTTCGACAAATGATCCCCTCTCGAGAACGACCTCTTCTTTTCATATGAAGATGCGGCTTAATTAGGAGATGAGAATTTGGACTTGAGGTGGTGCTAGAGGTGTATATAGAGCACAGTCAGTAGGCTTGGAAAATATATGATTTGTTCCATGATTCCGATACTGTTACCTGAGGTTGTGATGAGAGATACATGACTAACACACATCAATCAAATGACCTGAGCATGACGGGAAAGAGACTATTATATGACTGTGTTCTGGCTTTTATTTGACTATGGAAGGACTATGAGGTGACTACATGACTACCGAATGACTATAACTGACAGATGGTGGGCATCAGCCACACGACTTGACACAACTTGGCGAAGTCAACTCGAAGTCAAAATTTTGTAAAAAAGACTGCTTTTAGTCATGTCGTGCATTTTCGTGTAGTAGCGTGACTACCATATGACTGAGACATGACGAATCATTTTTACTGAGGGTCACGTGTCACGCTCAGTAAAAATGAAAGTCATGGACCTCTCGCAAGAAGGTCATGTGAAGTCATGTGGCGCTCGGGGATTGCTCAGGGATGTATTTGCTACAGGTTCACAGCCTGACTGAAGTCAAGGAATAGTCAATTACATGCTGTGTTGTAGTCTAGTCGTTGTCAACTGAATCACTATCATCTTGCCTTCGTCTTCTTACAGCAACAGGACAATTTGTCTAAGTCCGTTGAAACTCCGACATCAGCTGATCACGTTGAATTTTGACAGCACGAGAATCCTGTTCTTCCCAAGTTCTTCCTTCCCCCCATATCGACGTTGAGAGGTCCAATTCACAAGTCGATGGATGGCCTCCTAGCCTCCTCCTTTCTTTGATGGGTGGCCGCCTCTCCTAACGGACGGTCTCCTCCCATGTATTACCAAAGGCCTCCTTCCTCGACGCACGGCCTCCTCTCTCGACAACGAATGGTCTCCGAACGGTTTCCTCCATCAACAAACTGATTTCTCCCTCGATGAATGGTATCCGCTCGATCAACTGTGTTCCCTCGCTGTCCTCAACGAACTGTCTTCTGTCGTTGAATGGTATCCCCTCGACGAACTGTCTTCTTCCTTGATGAACTGCCCCCCTCCCTTGATGAATGGGCTCTCAGCCCCCCCCTGCCTTGATGAACGGTCTCCTCAGCCTCCCCCGACTTCACAGTCTCCTCCCTCCTTCGACAAATGGCCTCCTCTCGACGCTCGAGGTTTATGATTAGGAGATGAGAATTTGGACTTCAAGTGGTTGATTCCAGCTAGAAGGGCCTATATATAGCATAGTCAGGACTCAGTAGGCTTGGAGAATTAATGATTTTACATTGACATGACTCCGATGTGGTGCTGAGAATACTGTTACCTGAGGTTGAAGAGAAATACATGACTAACATACATCAATCAAATGACCTGAGCATGACGGAATGAGACTATTATATGACTGTAGCATGACTGTTTTCTGACTTTTATTTGACTATGGAAGGACTCTCAAAAGACAACTACATGACTACCAAATGACTGTAACCTGCAGATGGTGGGCATTAACAGACGAGACCACACGACTTAACACAACTTGGCGAAGTCAACTTGAAGTCAAAATTTTGTAAAAAAGACTGCTTTTAGTCATGTCGTGCATTTTCGTGTAGTAGCGTGACTACCATATGACCGAGACATGATGAATCGTTTTTACTGAGCATCACGTGTCACGCGTATGGGCTTCAACAGCATACTTACGTAATTAGCCGACTTTCTCCTGCTGTCACCTGTGGATACCATTTTCCAAGGGCCTGACGTGCTCGAAATTTCAACACACCGTGCGCCAACCAGGGTGAAGTTGGGTTGGAGCTGAAGCTTGAGGGCTGGGCCAAACTTATAAGAGATCATATACAAATTAGGCTTTAACATAAATCCAGATCTCTTCAACAAAACAAAGCGGAGGTACGATTCGTACAAGATTCATATGAAGGGATAGCCTATGATTAGCAGCTAGTTTGTGAATCTAACTTCCTCTGAAGTGAGCTGCCTCCTAATTTTAAATGTCTCGTACATAGTGATGAGCAGGGGTAACCCTGGGGTCAACTCAGGCTGACCCTGACCCTTACCCTCCAAAACCCTTGACCCTTGGCTGGGGTCAAGGGTTTTGGAGGGTAAGGGTAAGGGTATCTCAGGGGTTGGAGGGTAAGAAACCCCAGCAGGGTTTGAACAAGGGTTTGGAGCAAATGACTGCTCAAGCTTTATAGATAGTAAATAAATAGCAAGATGCCTGTGAAATACACATCATTCAAGTATATTTATGACAGTACACATGGTTTTTAGTAAATTATTGATGAAATATGAGGAATTCAGTGTATCTGAACAATACTAAGTGTTGCAAAGGTAGTGAGGTCTCTTTGGATGATATTTTATCTGATTCAATGTGATTTAAAATCATTTTATCTGGAGCACTTACCTTGATATTAGAGAAATGAAACCCCTAAAAAAACCCCTGAAAAACCCCTGACCCTTCAGAAGGGTCAAGGGTTTGTTGAGGGTCACAAAATCCTTACCCTGACCCTTACCCTCCTGACCCTTACCCCTGACCCTTGGAGGGTTGACAAACCCTTGCACATCACTACTCGTACACTGAAACCTCTCGAAGCGGATTTACAATGTAGACGATCTGTGACGGCTGCTTGCCTCGAGTCGTCAAAACCTTTTGGTTCTGTAAAACAATTTCAGCAAATTTCGTTTCTACAGTGATATGCGCGGCTGTATACTACTAGGGACTGTCACGGATAGCTAAAGCCTGGGTGAACCCGAAATCCACCCATATTTGGACTCAACTGGTGGATTCGGGTAACTACCCGGACTATCCGCAGGTATCCGTGGGTTTTTTAGACCTTCTTGAGATATTTTGAGCATAGATAAGAGTGTTATTTGTACCCCCAACTCCCTTCCACCATGACAGAATGCTATCACAACAACTTCCTGGCCCCTGCTGCTTGTGGAAGGGGTCCAAATTGTGACCTGGGCTTTGTTCCCAGCTGTCACCTAAGCTTGTCACCAGAAATCTTTGAAATCCTGTTAATGAATTCAATTTTTAGTGAAAGCAATCACAATATGCCCCAATAAAAAAACAGGAGAACATCCAAACTTACCTTGATGAACCCAGAGGTATTGAAAGGACAATTTTGGTGACACAAAGTGTTACAAAAACCTATTTAAGAGGAAAAGAAATCATTGTCCATCTTTTTTCAATCATTTGTGTAACTTTATTGAAGCTGGGTAGAAGGGGAATTTAATCCAGAATCTAAGAGCCATTTCTGCTCTGAATGTTTGAAAGTTGATATTGTGCTGGGTGAAATTGATCTGATTGTGACCAGTGGAGAATGCCCACTCTGCATCCACAGAAGTAGCTGCATCAATCATTGAAAGTAAAGGAAAATAAATGTGAATAATGCTGCTTACCTGGGGCTGAGCAGAAATCAAAACCCATTCATGAAAGTTGCAGTCAGGAATGTGATGCATTGTGCCTGTACATCATATAACCTCCTATTTCCTTCATTGTTTCTGTTGCTACCTGACCTAAATATCAATTGTTCTCAAAAGCATTTCTCTGAAACTGAAAATAAATACTCTCAAGATGGCCAAGGCATACTAATACACACCCCCAACACTCTCTGTGATCAAGGCTCAGTTACAGCAGCATTATACAAGGAGAAAGACCTCAGATGATGATATATAAATAACTTTAGTTTCAATATATTCAATTTAGATAGTATATGAATGACTTTTGTTTTAATATGAATTCTCCTGAATTTTCGCTTTCTAACACAATTTTTTTCATAAAGAACGATCAGGAAATGAACAAGATACACTCATTTATATAGCTGCTTGGTCACCCAGGCTGTTTACCCACGGATATATCCGTACTGTGCCTTACCTGATCCGTGGGTGGGAAAATCCGTGGATCGGGTACGGTTAATACCCGGGTATATCCATGACAGTCCCTATATACTACATGCCTTCGATGCCGATCTAGCTTCGACAACCCGCCATAGGCTGCCACGAGCATATGCTCCAACATTCTCCAACAATCTAACGTTGATCTTATCCTATCAAACTGAACACAATCAGTAATATGGATATCGACAAACTGCCCTTCGCTTACAGTTACGTAACCACCACCAAGGAGGCCTGATTGAGGTTGCCCTTCAATTTTTACCACTGTTCCAAAAAAATGTTCTTCAACGTCAGTGTCGGGTTCCAGTTTGATGCCGGATTTCCATCTGATTTGAACTGTGTAGAGGCAGTAGGGTCGAGTCGTATCAGAGGCCTATATTAGCAGCCATTTCAGAACAACAAGGAGTGCAAGGAAAGAAAGAGTGCGAAGCGTACTTGGAGGTCACGGCTCTTCACGTCCACAACTCTGGCAGCAGTTCCTGCCTGTATGGCCGTGGTACAACCCTCAGCGTTGAAAGCAAGCTCCTCATTGACGAGGTTCACAATGGACCCGACATCGGGATGGAAGTATAGCTCATAGTGTTAGAGTTGTCGATGTCAAGACAGGACTCGGAATAGAGAGTTAAGTCGACGAAGTTGTACCTTTTAAAGCGCTTGATTATGTTAGCCAAGTCATTATTACAGATCACTGGGATCTCACGCCTTCACTGCGATACCATTCCTCTGCATTGCCGAATCTCGCGATCGGTTTCCTTTTAAAGTTGTTGGCAATTGAGTTGGAGAGACGTTACTGTTGAGGGAGACACCTCATGACCTCATTTGTTTACGTGTACGTTTTTGTTTGCTCACTCTCGATCTTTTCGCCTCTATTTCTATCCTATACATTTACCCCTGTTATTTACCAGTCTTTACACAAGCCACCCATTTTTCTTATATAAACCTTGAACCTTATTTTCTCCCACCTCAGTCGTCACCACACTTGTGTCTGACTGAGGTGAGTTCGCTTTTACTTACATTTACTTACCCAAGACTGACGCTACCTGTGCTTAGATATTCGTACGTTAACAGGTAGCTAAAATACAGAGTCGTCACCACACTTGTGTCTGACTGAGATATTCGTACGTTAACAGGTTATGGGCCCCGCTGCACTCTAAATAACAAGAATACAGACACCTACCTGCCCTACCACATTACTTGCGACTCGTAGAGCCCACGTCCCACGCACATTAAAAATGTTGTTGTCCAACACCAACCCACCTATCTTTTCGGAGACAGAAAAATTTGACGGTACTAATTTCAGTACTTTCGAAACCCTCGTCACCATCGCTGCTAGCAGCCGTGGCGCACTCGGATACCTGCTGGGTACTATTCCTAACCCTGCTCCGTATACAAACCCAACGACGCTAAACTACACCCCCACATTGCCCAACATCCCACTTCCAGATGACCCCACTCCGTGGTATTCTGCCAATCCCTCCGGTGCGGAGTGGGCCATGCGTGATGCCTGGTCGCGCGCGCTACTTCTCTATAACACCAAAAATGCTATTGGGCTTGGACTTAAACTCGACGGTATGGCTGCTGAGGCATGGAAATCACTCATGGACCAATATAAGGTCTCTTCCGACCTCGCTATGGCCACCGCCCAGCGTGACCTTCGCAACACCGTCTTCGCCGATGGGAATGACTTCCCCAAACACATCTCCAACCTGCGTACCAAGTGGGCATTAGCAAACAATGCTGGTGGAAAAATCAATGACATGGACTTCCGCATGATAGTCCTATCATCGCTACCCGAGTCCTGGGATAGTGTGGTCGGTACGCTTTACGAAGCAAAATCCTCAGCGGATGTCATTAGCAGGCTAATGATCCACTGGAACAGCATTGACCGTTCCAAATCCGTCACCAATCCGGCCACAGTCGTTACGGCACTCCAGACTAATGCGAAGGGGGCGTGCAACCAATTGCAATGCGCAAATCCAAACTGTGGACGTCGTGGACACACCATCCTCAACTGTTACTGGTGTGGAGGAGGGAAGGAGGGACAGTTCCCTCCAGGCTTTGGTCAGCGTGGGGGAGCGCGTGGCTCGACAACCCAGACTAGCACTCCCACAAATACTTCGTCAGTTACGGCGGCAATCGCAGACACTTCACCTACCTCAGAGATTACAATGGCGCTCATCTCGAACGTGGGTGACAGGGACTATCCCCCCACTCAGGAAATATCCACGCCCTCGATGGACGGCGAGGAACTCGAAGCGGTCACGACATACACACAGAAAACCTATGACATCACACACGCATTAGCAGCCCTTACCACACCAGGAGACCGAGACGTACCCACCTATGCAGATTCTGCTGCTAATAAACATTGCTTCATCAACCGCGCAGACTTCTCCACCTACCACATCCTATCCCAACCTGACGAAGGCCAATCTGCGAACAAAGGTGGTCAATTTCGCATCATTGGCCATGGTACAGTGACCAAAACGATCGTATCTGGACCCCTCAGAACCACAATCACCTTCAAACAGGCAGTCCATATGCCTGACCTTATTGCCAACCTAGTCTCCATCAGTAAACTTGACGAGGCGAATTGTTGGGCGCTCTTCGGCGGAGGAGGTGTAACGTTCTACAACATTCACAATGGTCAGAAGAGAACGTTAATGACGGGCATGGGGAATAATGGCATGTATCTCCTACGTGTTGAATCTCGACCCACCACTACCCACGCCCTCATCGCCCGCTCCCTACATAAGCCCACGAGTCTCGAGGTCTGGCACCGGCGCTTTGGACATGCTGGTGTCCGCTCAATCACAGACATGGTCAAGCAAGGTTTGGTTGACGGGCTTGAGATTGTGGGAGGCACTGACCTTGAGGGAAAATGCGAAGACTGCATCTATGGGAAGCAGAAAACGCGCCCGTACGATGGCGTGGTGGTCCCTGAAACTGAGGTCTTGGAGCGAGTCTATATAGACTTGTGGGGACCGGCGCGAGTTCGATCTGTTGGGGGAGCTGAATACATGATGGTATTCAACGACGGGGGCTCCTCGTACCGTGTGGGATACTTCCTCGCCTCGAAGTCGGGTGAGACGACGCTCATTGCCTTCGCCGAGTTCCACGTGAAGTCAGAGCGAGAGACAGGGAAGAAGCTGATCAGGATTAGGGTGGACATGGGCACAGAGTTCTTCAACGAGAAATGGAGGGAGTATACAGCGAAGCATGGGATCACCGTGGAGTTCAGCGCGCCATACGCACATGGCCAAAATGGGGTGGCAGAACGTGGGATGAGAACCATCATCGAAAGAACCCGATGCGTTCTTGCCGATTCCGGTTTACCTCCATCGCTCTGGGCAGATGCCGCCTCCTTCACCATCTACACTGACAACCTCATCCCATCCGCTCGACATCCAGGCTACATACCTGCTGAGAAATGGACAACGAAAAGTCAGGACGTCTCGCATCTGTGCCCTTTTGGATGTGTCGCATACGCCAAGATCCCAGTGGAGATAGGCGTATCGAAGCTCTCTCCCCGATCAATCAAATATGTCCTGATCGGATATTATGGGTGCGGAACGTATAAGCTGTGGGATCGGGCATCAGGAACGACCATTAAGAGTCGTGATGTCATTTTTGAGGAAGGCCACGGTCACCGCACTGTCTCCTACGATGACATGCCCCCCCTCGAGATCGTCGACGACGACGATGACGACGAGACGCCTACAGCTCCTCAGGATGCCAACCCTACAGCCAAGAACATCATTGTCCCTCCAAAACCCTTAGCACCACGCCCACGCGCCACAGATCCCCCTTTACACCCAGATGCTGGACCACCAGCTTCTCCCAACGTCGCACCCACGCCACCTGTCATTCAGCCTGATAATCAACATCATGTACCGCCCAGACGCTCTGCTCGCCTCGCTGTCCTGGGGACTGGAGCGCCCACCCCAGAAACGACAGTACTTCTCACTGCACTCCCTGACTCCCAGGTACCGCGCAGCTATTGGGAGGCGATGACTCGCCCAGACCTTTGGAAGGAGGCCATGGAAAGGGAGTGGGGCGTTTTATGGGACAGGGGTGTTTTTGAGTTGGTGGACTTGCCTCCTGAGGCACGTATCATCGATTCCATGTGGGTCTACGCTAACAAGTACGACGCCGACGGAAACATCATCAAGCGCAAAGCACGACTTGTTGCAAAGGGATTCACACAAATCCCTGGACTTGACTACGATCAGACTTATGCATCCGTCGTATGTCTGGAGTCCTTCCGCATGGTCGCTGCCACTGCCGCCGCTTTGAACCTACACCTTTGGCAAGTCGACATCGTAGCCGCGTATCTCTACAGCACGAACAAATTCACCACGTACATGCGCCAGCCGCCAGGTTTTGTCGCCCGAGGGGAGGAGAACAAGGTTCTACGGGTCGTCAAAACCTTGTATGGGATGATGCAAGGCGGATATGATTTTCAGAGCGAAATGACGGGTGCGTATGAATCATTGGGATACTACAAATCGCTTGCAGATCCCTGTGTCCACTCCCGTCACATCCACAATGAGCACACCATCACC